TACGTTTTAACTGAAAGTGCATATCGATAAATTTCTTTGTGATTCCTTTTCATTTTTAATAACAATAGTAACCACTCAAATGAGATGGTTTTGAAAGAAAAGGAATTATTGCAGAGGCTGTAGAATATTACAGTTCATCTTAACGATAAACAATAGGCCCTCTAAAGTATTGAAAACTAAATTACGAAGTGAATGACTTGAGTTAATAGGGTTCAGTGAGCTATTCTTACTTAGGAAAAATAAACTTCAGTATTTGAATAACAATGCCTAACTTTTTTACAAGATAAGTGAAACGCGTCAAGCGATACAAAAATACCCATAATTCAATAATTACGAAAATAGACTTTTATTTGTGACGCACGGCAAACCTCAATGCAAAAACATGAGCACAATGAGGGGAGAACTATGACTTTACAATTGTAATCAGAATTATGATCTGAGGAAATTGTATCCCAGTACAATTAAAATAACTCCACATGGTTATACGTTTTAATGACACATTTTTCATATGTGACCACGCATCATTCTTCCTTTTACCACAATCAGTCAAGGAGACAACCAGAATACCTCAGAGCTGACGAGCATCTGAAGAAGGATGGGCCTGAGAGAATCTTAATTTCCAAGAGATCTGCATATTTTTATCTGGATTTATTGCTTTTCCAGGATGTTAATTTTGTAAAATAATCAGATTATGTGTGTATGTGTGTTTTTCATTGTAAAATAATCAGATTATGTGTGTATGTGTGTTTTTCATTGTAAAATAATCAGATTATGTGTGTATGTGTGTTTTTCATTGTAAAATAATCAGATTATGTGTGTATGTGTGTTTTTCATTGTAAAATAATCAGATTATGTGTGTATGTGTGTTTTTCATTGTAAAATAATCAGATTATGTGTGTATGTGTGTTTTTCATTGTAAAATAATCAGATTATGTGTGTATGTGTGTTTTTCATTGGAATTCACTGGGCAAATTGTATCAAAGTGAGTTGTGGGCTGGTATTGTTTACATGTCTTATTAAACTCATTTTTATGTGATTTTTATACAAATTATGGTTTGATGTTATAAATTTTCTGGATCTCTATTCATTACATCACCATCATTCATTTGAGATTTCTTGCCTCAATTATGTCTCATTACAATCATATTGTATGAGCATTGTAGAATTACTTGAAATAAAACCTGAGAAGAAAATGCCAACAAAAAAACTTAAGATGAAAAATAGGAAAATCTATAACGATATTAAACACTTATAATTGTCCATGACAATACACTTAAACACCTCAATTATAACTCCCCAGATGTGGTCAATTTTGAACAATACAAAATAACGCTTTAGAATTGTTACTATAGGAAAAAAGAACATGTGTTCCAGTGCAGTGATTATTTCATTCTCTACAACTGTGAAACCTATTGATGAATTTTCCAATGGAAATGTATCGTTTAATTAGTCAAACAATAGCTATTACAATATCAATGCAAGTATTGACTATGTTTTTAAAATCTGCTTTTTCATATTTGTATTTCATGAGTATTCAATTGATTAATTAACTTCTTGTATAAACACTGGTTGTTTCTGAGCCAACTTTATTATATAAAATCATGAATCTGAAGGTAATATGTTTTTTCATAAAAATTTGTGAGACAATTAGACTTATCGAAGGCTTTTCACCAGATTTCTACTTTGCCGCTGTAATCTGGCTGTAATTCCTAATTAGAATAACAGCAACAACAAAAATAATGTGAAAAGCGTGAAATAATCACACGATTTCTTACTAATCATAATTCCTTCAGTCACAATAAGAAAATCTGACGACAATGCGGTTGAAAGCCTGAAAACAAAATTTCACTGATTTCATATTTTGATGAGCTAAGTTACAGAAGAAATAAAAGTAAATTGTAACTGATGAAAAATAGGAATGTTGGGGACACTCTAAATTTTATAGAAATGTAAGAAAATCGGGACACTTCTTTCAAATTTTTGAGTGAAACTATGAAAAATAGTTTTTAGCATACTGACATTTACAGGACATTGGTACTTATATTGCCCTCCCAGCTTTTTTCAAGACATCCTAGTACCTACCCATTGAAACACTTAATTCAAATAATCGGCAGGAGTCACTGCTCAAAATCACAATAAATTGATTTCAGCATTTTGAAATGAACTAATTTTCAAGAAAATGTCAAAAATCTTTGATAAAAGTCTTGGTTTCTTGTTCTATGGGGTAATAACATTGATAATTGAACAGTAGAGGAGAAAATGACTTGATGACAATACGATTACCTGGCGATTACAGGATAACAACTTGATAAACCTATTAATAGCGTACCTGTAATGGGACTTGATATATGAGAAAGTGCCATTTCAATCCCAGCCTTCCTTAGGTTATTGGTTTGCGTTATTACTTCAATGATTTTTTTCAATTCAACATTTGCATGGTCCCTTTGAACAATCCTCTTGTATAACATCGAAAATAGTTACGATTCAAAACTAGGAAGTTTGAGAAAAAATGCATTCTGGGATTGTATCCCTCCTTTGAATTAAAAAGCTATAGGTCCCTTTTCAATAAATGAACACCATGACCCAGAATCCATTCAGCTTGATATTTGCAAATAATATATAAAAATGTATAGTCCCTTGTATTCAGAATTGTATTCATATACTTTTTTAAAATTCGGTCAAATCAATAATAAATATTTGAACTTCCTCAATGGTATGAGGAACTACATCAACAATTTCACACATGTTTATAAATGATTATAGACCAGATTTGTCTCATTTGCATCCTTGATATATGCATTTAATAAGAAGGATATAGGATTACTATAAATCATAATCTCTATATAGACACGGATTAACATTTATGATTGTGATACTAAAATCTTACACCTTAGTATAATGGATGTTAGCTTAAGAGGATCTTCACCTGAAATCCTAAAATCAAACTTCCCTTAGAATAAGTTCTGCATATGAGCATGGCATTCTCTGACGTCTCTCAGGATGAATTTTAAGAAAATGTTTTTTTGTTGTCTAAAGGCCTGAATTAATCATATGTATGAATGCTATCTTTTTAAAAAATATTGACCTACATATAGTTATGATTTGAATATTTTTAAGAACTTTAGATTTAGTCAAGATGAGAAAGTTAGTTCTGGGGGTGTTTCTGACTAATACATAATGATAGTACTCTTTATAAAGGAACTTAGTACGAAATGGCAATTTGCAATTTAAGGCGTAATTGTATCTACTTTTACTGCCCTTTGATTCATTCTGATTGATGGGTTTTAAAACAAAGATATCTATTGCAAATAATTGTTACAATTATGCGTTGGGTATTGTCAAATGATAGGGTATACTGCATTATGGGATTGACGTCAAAGTCTTGATGCGATCGCAACTTATTCTTTGAGCTTTTAATGCATTTAAAGTATAGTTTATTGGCGAAATCATATCAGGTATCGAATAATACCTATATATGAGGAATTGTGATAACCAATTTTTAAATCGGTAATTAAGTAGAAATGAGTAAAATTGGCAAGAATTAACATTGCTATACAAGATGTATACATTCTTAATCGCTAATATATTCAATAAAATCAGACACTTTATTTAAATTTTGTCGTAAATTATATAAAATAAAAATAAATGGGAGAAATTTTAAATGTGGGTTTAGATGTAACAGTCCAGAAAGAAAGTATTCTTAAAAAGCTCAGAGTAAGAAATCAATTATAACAATTAAAACAAGATTGGTTTATAAACATTTAAGGGCCTCATTCATTCTTCAAGTGGCCAGGAATATGTATATTGATGAATGTAATGCTAGGATACCCTGTAGAAGGTAACCATGATTCAATGATTACATTAATTAGGCAAGAATAATGGAATAGAACATACTATTATCTGACAATTTCCTATAGCTGATAAGTCGTTAATTATTATTCTAGTAGAATGCCTAGATCTTGGTTTTAAAGGCCTCATGTTCAATTTCATAAAAAAGTCGTAAAATTTTAAACTACTAATTTGCAAGAAAATAAAATATAATATGAATCAATATGATCAAATACCTCGTTATTAAGATTTCTATGAAAAATCCTGTTGATCCCTTCCCTGTGAATCCCAATTCTCCTTACCCACCCACCTACTCATAATACATCCATGAAAGATAAAACTTTATATTTCCTGGCGACCTATTATGTTTAATTCGACGTCTCACACAGAAAAAGTCGTGTTTATTCTATGAATTAGACACAATTATTATATATTATAGGCGCTAATGTGATTAATTCTCTGATATTGTTTACTGAAATGCTTTGTTTTTGTTAAATATAGAATCAAGCCGCTAGATCTTCATGGAGGATGTTTAAGGAGGGGATTACCAATGTTTCGAATATTAACAATTAGAATCATTATATTGGGGGTCGTATCGGTAATGACACTTTCTTTTGAAACAATGTCTGTGACTTTTATATTTTTTATGTTTTAGCTTTATTATTAAATGATGAAAGATTTCCAAATAAAAAACAAAAATTGAGTTTTTGAAGTATGTAACTGTATAAAAATAATGCTTGAAAGTGTTATTTTAGTAGCTTTTGATACAACCGTCTATGTTTATATTAACACCAATCAATATTTAATCAGGATTAATCACTGAAAACAATAGGTATTTAAGTTCGATTTTGAAAACTTTAATTTGGCTTTCAACATCAGTCAAGAGCAGAATGATACAAAATCACCTAAAGCAATGTGGAATTTTTATTGAAAGAATAGTACAATAGATGATAGATTTCACTTCCTATTTTTTCAAACATGTCATATCCAAATAAAAAAAACTAAGAAAAAGCTAACCGCAGATCTATTGAATTCAAGAAATTAAGTTCTCATAGAAATCTCTGTATTATAATAGGCTGTGGCTTGGGTTGAAGGAATTAATAGGAAAACCAATATACTGTAGCCAATAAAGCATATTTGGAATCTATGAGACAGTCAGTGTGGAATAGGATACGGACACGGTGACAAGCACATATTGAAGCTCTCGGACTCTGATGGTCACTAGTTTAATCTCTGCCTGCTTCATGCATATGATTGGCCTAAACTGAAGGAACTAATATATAGTAGCTGGGAAACTAATCAGTATATGAGAAAGTTTTCCCAGAGACACAGTGTAGAGTCAATCAAGGACTTTTTATAGGTTTTCGGATATTGAACTTAAAATGGAGACAATCCATCACATGTTATGGTAAGAATTATTTTAGCTGGTTTTGTTTTACAAATATAGGCGAGTAGATTGTGTAATCTGTTATTTGCTTATTTTGATTACAGTGATATCCTAAGGAATTTTAAAGGGTTTTATATCAAAAGATTTGGTTGATAAGTTAGTGATTATTTTCTCTTGCAAGATACTGTTGATTGAAGCATCAAAAAATATTACCGATTTTTTAGTTGATTCAGTTGAGTATTTTTTGTTTCTAAGTATTTACAGTACCTGGTTATATTGCATTCATTATTCCAATATCACAAAGATTGTTGCAAAAATAGAAATGAAATGTTTTTAGAAACGATTTTGAGTTATGGCTGTAATTGATGTTTCCCAGAATTAAAATATGAATGTGGTCTTATTTATTCCCTGCATTTTCTCATTAAAATTTGAATAAAGTATCTAACTTTCTTACATTTCTATATAATTTAGACCATTATCAACATATCTATCTACTTTATTCCTTGCTAATGACACTCTTTTTGCTCTTATTTTGCTTTTTAAAACAAGATCCTCACAAGATTTTTTCCATGATTTGTAAGTGTGTGAACAAGCCGGTATTGTCGACAGTAGTCAGGGAGAGAATTACCTATTAATAATTTCTATAGCTCTTATAATTGATTGTTACATTCCCGTCAAGTGCCCATTTGCTCCGTAGATGGAAAATATATGTTCATTATAATCACTATATTTTACACAACTTTTTCGTGAATTTCTATTTGAAGGCTTCTTAAGAATTCAGTTGCTATGGTAACCACTTTTGATTACGTATGGATCTCAATAATTATAATACGTTGTTGTATTGTGCTTTCCTTGGATTTGCTGGAACGTTATTTGATCTATGGCTCTCCATTTGGCTACAAAACTATTGTAATAGCGCCTGTTTGTAGAACGGAGACTGCATTGCGTTAATTCAATATTTTCTACTAATCTCAAGTAGTTCTGATTAGCTAGCATTGAAGAGCAGTTTTGGGTTGTCAAGCTATTGTTTAATAAACTTGGGGCATTATTCTCTGTGATTATTCTTGGGATATCTGAACAAGGTATTACTATAGAACTGTTTCTTAGACTCATCAAAGATAAAGAAATCATTAAGATCTTAATCAGAGGATTCCCGAATCAAGGACATATTTTGATGGTTTCATATTTTTTAACAATGAGATTAAAAGTTTTGAAGTCACAATGGCTTTTTAACACTAAAGAATTAATTAAATTATGATGTTTCATTTTTAATGAGGTAATGAGAAATTAATTGATATTATGTTTAATACCATTTTAAAATGAAGCCATTTGAAGCAACTTTTGTTTCTGACAGGCATTGATTTCAACTTTAATTGTAACTTGTGTCTTTATTGTAATAAAAAGTTAACGATTTGCATTTAGATACAATTAATGCTAATCACTGTTTCAAGTTACATCTGTTGGAAAATATCACAATTCACTAAAGAAAACAATTTAATTGATTGTGCTTCTAATTTACATATTGATTTGACTATTTGCAGGAACATGTCTTCTAAAAGAAAAAACACTCCCATCAAACTCAGTAAAGACGAGATGTCTATCGAACAACAAGTAATGGCGGAGAAGCTCCATCAGGTGGCAGCACTGGCTGCAAGTGAAAATGAGGCTCAGAGCCCACAGTACGAGGAGTCCTCGTATGACAACACAGAACCAATGAACAAGAAACAAAAACTGTTTGAAGATTCTGATGCTATAATGAACAATAACAATCTCAAAATGAACGGGCGTAAATCAATGGACACGATTCTACAGAGACTAAGCTCCAAAGCTAGTAGTGACAATAGCTCTAGAAATGAATCGCCTTCTCCCGACAGAATCTCGGAAACTGTACAGAAGGTTCTAGAAGACAATACTACTGCTCAAGATAAAGAAAAACACTTAGATGATATGATCGTTCAACTCCAGAGTCTAAAAGAAAAACTATCTACAGAAAAAAACCAGGTATGATTAATTTGTTGTATTTGATCAAACATTGCTTGTTTTATAAACCCAGATTGTATTTATAAAAGATCCAAACAAGAACAAAACTCTGACTGGTTATCATTGATGCAAAGTAAAATGTTGCTTCATCATTACAATAACACTGGGTCCTATCTATGGTAACTATAACCAACTTGGGAGTAAAATCTCATGGGACACGTTTTCAAAAATGAAATTATGACAGATTAAGATGAATTGGTGAGAAATAAAGTAAACAGACATGACATCAACACTTCAAATTATGTAGAAATTCCAGAGAGTAAGATAGTTCATTCGAATTTTAGAGAGAAATGGAGCGAAATGAGCATGATTTGTGAATTTTTTATCTCCAGGGGGGCTATCAATGTTCTCCATTTGCTCTCAAAATGTAACGGAAATAAAACAAAATCAAAGACGAGTATTTGTGAGATAATAAACATCTGGGGATGAAGAAACAAAGTATAAGATAGCCACAGCCTTTTTAGGATGAATTGATACCTTATATATCATCATAACAGAGGCTACTGTTACTCTAAGTGCATGCCGTTATCTTGAGTGGATGAAACTTTGTCGTTTCTACTCTTTATATTCTCTTCGCCCTATCTCTACCTTCTTTTCTTACATGTTTTACTAACTTTGTTTGAAAGCCAAGAATTGAACAAAGCGGTTATTTTCGGACTGTTTGACTGATGCTACTAATATTTTCCCAATTTGCGATTAAAAGGTGCTCAGTTTCTTCAGTTATTATTTTGTCCAGATCTTCAACAGTTTCATTTTCACGCTTTGAATTTAGAGATAATCAAATCATCTTAGCTTTGTGGATGTTAAGTATTGTTTCCTGTTATTTTCTTTCCAGATTGTTCTCAAGGCCTTTCTTACATCTTATCTCAGAAAGTATTACACATAGCTTAACCAGCCATAGCACTAATATAAGTGTAAATGAAAATATGGAAATCTGGTAGCTGGATTCTAATTAAGGATAAATTTTTATCTGGTGAAGTCTGAGATCCTTTATCCAATTTACAACTTCAAAGACAGCATGTGTCTTATGTTCGTTAACTTATATTGTACTGCGATGATTTGGTATTGATATATTATAGCCTGTTCTGCATTTGTAATCCTAGAAATCTTCATAGGTGTAATCGAATGATCATAATTGGTGTTTGTAAAAATTATTTCGCCAACTTTTGGTTCATATTTTTTGATTGATTTTTTATGTTGGTTAATCATTTTTTGTTTATTTTCACAGTTGTTTTTTGTAAAGTTTTTTTAATGAAGGGAACAATGCAACAATAAATAAAGTGCTTAACAATACCATATTTCAGTTCACAAAAGTGGCACATGCTTTTGGAATTTGACATACTGATCATATTAACCGTTGCTGCGGTTTATTATGATACTCCATCGCAGGGATGCCCATATTTGGCGCAGCATAATTTACTAATATAATACAATACCAAAAATCTGTTCTAACACCCATGAAAGACAAGCATATCTCTAGCAAAAGAATAACATCTTTTGTAGGAAACTGAAGCTGGCTTCCTTATGGAGTGCAAAAATACCATAAACATAGCCACTACCGCCCTTGTGACAAGAAACAATGTTTCAAAATCACTAATTTACAAAATTCTACATAATTAAGAATATGTTTATTTAATTTTTTCAAAAATAATTATATTTTATTGTTTGTTGATATTATAAGTTGCAATAGTTGGCGTTTTTAGTTGGAATTTTGGTAGATAATTGAAGAAGTTTCTTTATTTGGATAATCAATTAGGTATAAAGCAAAGATGGTTTTGCTCAAGATGTATCCCTTTTATAAATATTATACTTAAGTTTCTTTGTGGTGTGCTTATTATCTACCTGTGCTATATTTGGACTGTAATTGCTCATTAGTTGTTACCAGAATCCTGACTTTTCCCATGGAGGAAAAAACTGGGTCTTGTTTTAAAATGCAAAATGTGCTAGAAAAGAGTGGAATAAGCATGGAAAAGAGTATATAGGGTTAAAGTTAATATTCTAAATTGTATGGAAATGCAAGAAAATCAGACACTTTATTCAAATTCTTTTGAAAAATCACCTGAAAATGTTTAATCAAAGTGAATTTGAACAATGGGGAATCCTGTCTTTGGTTGGCTGCAGGTTTCCAAAAGAATGTGTTAATATCAATAATGGAATGATTTTCCACTTTTTATGATCTCTGCTTTCTGTTGTTGAACATTGATTTTGAGCAATGTAGTCATTAGCGCACAATTGTTTTCTCTTTTATGTCAGATAATTGACTTTTTGTTTCTTTACAATCACAGATGCTGGATGATTGAACCCATTTAGCACACATATCCTGAAGTCTTTAATTGACTTTTAGGTTATGTTACAAAATATAATAAAAAGGTATCAACTTTTTTTGACAAATTGGCATAATGCGGACTTCTTTAAATGTTTAAATTAAGTAGAATAGCAAGTAAATAGGTTGGAATAGAGGAAACAGTTTATGTTATATTAAGTAAATATCATGAAACAAAGAAATAAAGTAAAAAATGAGAAAAAAGAATGATAATTTTGCAAACTGACATTTATGGAAAGTTTCTCTCAAGCCTGTATTGTATTGTGACTCTTGATTCATTAATGATTATGTGTCAGAAATTTTGATTGTTCCCAGAAAAAGGTTGATGATTTCGCTTCTGCGCTTAGATTTGGACAATCATTAATGGCAGGAAATGCAAGTTTTAACAGCATTGATAACAATTCAAAGAATTCTCATCATTTTCTTAATTCACAAGAAATTATAGTTTTGTTGAATTAAGTATCTGCGATGATTTTCTACTCAACTCGTTAAGTTATCGGGCGTTGTACTAAATATAATTGTTTGCGTTTACAATCAATTTCCCCGATTGGGGAAAAAAACACAATTAACGTCATCTAGAGTTGAATTGTTACAATATATTGACAGACTGACTCCAATTTAAAACGCTAGTAAGACAATTTCAAGTTAGAATAGATGATTTTATAGTGATTGTAGTATCGGGGATGTGGGACCCGCAATCAGTTACTGGGGTCTTTGTTATCAACTGTCCAACAATAAAACACATTAGCAGACTCAATCATGCTTGAATAACTGAAAATTGTTTCTTTTCTCCTCATTATTATCGTGCCTTTGATTTTTCTCATCTAACGAGGATTTAAGAATATTCGATAATGAACAAAGAAGTTCTGTTAAGGGCCTCTCATTGGAAAGATATCCGTCTGCTCATGAACTTTTCGTAATTTCTCTCCAAAATTTGATTGAACTACCTGATTTTCTTGCATTTATGTATAATTTACAGTCTTCATTACAGTGTAATTTGCATTTTTCCTTGCTAATTCACTCTTTTATATGAAATTGATCATCTTCAAATTTGATCTCTGTATATCTTATGGATGGGCTGATTCATATGAATGATGATTAAACGGGATTGCAAATAAGTAGTTAAGTATGCTATCCAAGTATGTAATAGAATTTGCTTTAAGACCCATTGTCTTTACGGTAAAGTCTTCTTGAGTTCTTTGATGAGGGATAATGCAGGCATGACCAGGTCTGGACAACCCATGAATTGAATCACAGGGAAGTCACGATTTTAAATACAAATAGAGTAGAAAAAGAGGATTTACCAAGGTGTAGGTCACTCAGGCATATAAACTATGTGGTTAAATTGTATATATGTGACAGAAAATCAGAGATACCTTAAAACTTTTTGTGAATGGTATAGTTTTAGTACAAGCATTATTTCAGTTGTTGCAAAAAACAAATGTTTTTGTCATCTGAGTTTATATAGATTTGGATGAAATACATTTATTTTTTAAGTTTTATGACCTTTTATGCCCTGGCTTTTCTTTTGTAAGCAAACATCATATAAATGAGAAACACAACACTAAATTATTCAAAACAAAAACTGATGATAAAATTGAAATAAATGCTTTGGTTTTCCTGTTTACTTTATTTTATTCATGGTTGAAGTCTTGCTTTCAGACTTGGGGTAAGGTTTCAATAAACAAAACATTCCGAACTAACAAAAAGTTGTTTTATTAATAAACAAACATTGTCTTCCAGCAATGTGTATTATACCCTCAAGATGGCTACCATATTGGTAGAATGCACAAATAGTTCACAAAAGTTCATTGGGGATTTTGTTTCTTTTTTGTTAATGTTTGTATTCTGTATAAGATAGGTACCCGTGATGAAATCTGGTGAAGATCACGTTTGGTCTCTCTTATGTTTATTGTTCGCTAGTGATAGAGTTACATTCTAGTTGAATGAATCACTCATCTCATCTTTTAGTTATCATGAAGCTTCATCTTTGCATCAATTGTTTGCATCTTTATTCATCCGTCTGCTAAAGTGTCCGTCTGAATATATCTATTTCGTGAGATTTCTCTAAAAAATTTGAATAAAGTGTCTTATTTTTGGGCATTTCTTTATAATTTTAAGTTTTGAGTCTATTTTTGTAATGTTTATTTCTCGGTAATTCAACTCATTTTTACAATTTTTTGCAATTTAAAACTCAGTGAATGTGATGTGTTATTGATGAGTACCCTCTTGTTTGATTGAATGATGCCTGGGAACATATTGTATCGGTATTTGTCAATTTGAATTTTTATCAATTTTTTTATCACCCTGCGGACATCTGGGTGTCAATTATAGGTATCAGAATTCCAAGACATGCACACAACTTAAAAAGTTTAATAATTGAACTTTCTGATTATTAAAAAGTGAAAGTCTGAGCAAAAGAAAATTGAGAAGGCAAATTCAGTGCAGTTAATGCTATATATGGACATTCAAATTGCCAAAATATTAATTAACTAGCCAAGAAACAAGAAAAGGAACACATTTTGTGACCCATCTTGTACCTAGTTATATAGGGGTGTAGCACTTACCAAAATGTTTGGAAATTTTGATACTTAAGACAGCAGCATGTTTCATCTATCAATGCATATATCTTTTTCGGAAAGAACCCGTGCTTTGATTTGCTTGATGATTTTTGTTTGTAGTTAGATTGAAGCCGATCTTCCTACTGCTAACGGGTGGTCCCGTGGTTATTGAAATTGAAACAAACCCTCTCTTGAAAGCATGCACCTTATCTGACTTATTCTCCAGTGTTACACAATATAACACATGATTGTTTTATATTAAATAATTGATTTTTTATTTTCCATAATTTTTATGAATTAAGAATAATATACAATTATTATAACTCTTGAGTTCTGGGATTGAAAACTTCCATTTATAATGATTTGGAAGTCTGGGATTAAAACACCGCTATTCAAGATGGATGCCTCAAAAGATAATGTACCAAAAAGCGTAAAAGAACAACAAACTTTAACCAACAAAATGTTATAGCTTTTCTTAATTTAGCATTGCCCATTTGATCTAAAATAAATACAGAAGTGAGCTCGAATATTTTGATATATGAATACTGGGGATGATTAGTACATGACAGGGGAGAGAAAACGTGATAAAAACAACAAGATTCCCTTAACAACATAGTATCTTTTTACCCAATTATCCTCTCTGTTTATTTCAAATAATGCAGGAAATACACCTTCCCAATACCACTCTAGCTCTATAAGAATAACATGGCCTGGCTACCATATGTTTTAAGCTATGATATTATAGCTTTTTTCCTTTATTTCATCTTTACCTACGTCTACTTCAAAGTACAAATTCAACAGGAAATTGTTACAGGTTTAGGTGTTAGATGTTTAAATAGAATTCTTATGACTTAATGTTTTTATAAGCAAATTTGTTGAATAATATTGAACATTGCTTTTCATTTTGTTTTATTTTTAGGGACTATGTGAGAAATTTATAATTTCTCAGAATCTTGTTTTGCTTTGGAAGAAGGGTCAATATTCTTTATTTTTAACACCTCAGACTTTTGGGACTTTCCCTTTTAAAACAATACAGTTGAGCGTTTAAGTAAAACAATAGAGCGTTTCTATTAGCCTTCATCTTGACCAATTACAAAGTCAAATCAATTGTTCTGACTTTAATGTTAGCTTTCAAGTTGAATTCAATTAGATGACACTCTTCTCCTAGAATAACAACAGTGTCTTCCTAGTGCTGTCTGAATACTAAACCTACCCTAGTGGACTCGGTAGTGGGCTTCACAGAAAAACTAAGTTCTCTATAAAAGTAAAAGTGTCTTTGGTTGCTTTATTCTGTGACTGAACTGTATTTCATTAAGATTTCCTGGAAATTCTGTCAGGGATCCTGTTCTTGTTTCGTTCTTGTACAAAGCTCAACAAAATAAGTTCTAAAATATAAAACCATGTTCTTTTATGTATATTCCATTTTAATTAATCTTTTTTTCTTTTCTACTTTCAGAATTTGAATGCAGACAGAAGATCACCAAGTTGTAGTCCAGGTATGTGTAATGTTTTTGTTGATTGTTTGGTCATTGATTGATTGTTTGGTCATTTAGTGACTGCTTGATTGTCGATTGATTGTTTGCTCATTGATTGATTGTTCGGTCATCTAATGACTGCTTGATACTTGCTTGATTGTTTGCTCATTGATTTTTTAGTATATTGTTTGTTTAGTTGATTTGTTGATTGATTGATTGTTTGATCAACTAACTTATTTGTAAGTTTAATTAATCAATTTCCAATTAGTGATATACACTTACTTTAGTATATCTAGTGTGAATCATTTAATTCAAAGGATGTTACAATTTATTATTTTTAAGTGCAATTCTCCATTTACTTCCATGGTACTTACATTCTCCCACATACCCCTTTGACTCCCGGAATGAGATATCTGACCAGTACAGAGGAAGCAAAAACCATCCATCCTTCAAACCATTATCTCAAATCCAACTTACATCATGTATTATAGCTGAACCCATTTTGAAAGTATCATGTTGGTCAAGTCCAAAATAAGGTGGAATAAAGTGGATTTAGCAAGGTTCTGTAATTGAGACTCCAACTTTTAAGAAATGCAAGAAAATATGAGAAATTGAGTGGAATAGTGTGTATGAATGTTTGGGTACGAGCACCTCTTCTGCTATCTATCCAAATTTTCTGTGAAGTATTCTCAGCATAAAGACTTAACGAATCTTGCATCATTGAATCTAACATTGTGTTCCTTTAATTAGAGGACACTCTTTTTAAAGAGTAGTGATATAAACTGAAGAGGATGGTTCTCTTGTGAGTAGGTATAATTGAGTGCTTTTGGTTGTCTTAACAATTCTTCTTATCCACTGTTTAATTGGGATATTTTCAGTGTGTGTATATTTCTCGGTGATTATACATAACAACTGTTAATCTAGAGGAGTTTGTTTCTCAAGGAGGTTGGCTCGTATTATAATGCACTATTTCCTGGCCGAATAACACCTCTTGTTTTATAACTCTGGTCAAGAACTTGTATATCAAGATTTGGTTCCAAAGGTTTTGGGCCATTCCTTGAATTGTGTCTATTTCCTAAGGTCTTTGGGGCTAGTTTTGACAAATGTTCTAGTACCCATATTTTCTTCAAATTGTACAAAAATGTTGGAAAATCAGAAACTTTATTCAATTTTTTGATAGGCTAGATATCTTATGAAATAAATATTAGCAGACGGAGATATCAGCAGACGGATGGATAAAAATGCATTGGTTGATGCAAGAAATATGTGAGGAGACATTTGGTCTGGTTGTTATGTAAGTTACGGGATATACAAATATTGTTCTACCATTGTGGTTAATCCACCCAGAAATTCTTTCTGTTGTTTGGGTATCATTCTACAATGTATCCTGCTTATGGAGTTAATTTTTGTACAAATATGCAATAATAATTGTTCAAATTAAAACAAAGGCTAAAGAATCTATAATAACATTAATTGATGTTTGCAACAATGGTATATACATGGGATTAATCTGCGATCATATCAATTTGCCTAACGCGATAATATTTCCTTAAATGTGTTATTTGTTTTTGTTTAGATTAGTTTTTATTTTATAATAGATTCAGACAATGCAAATAAGTGTTTTAAAAATAATTATGGTTTCCTGGGATTGAGATAAATTGACTTGATGATTGGGTTCACCTGTTGAGCATTTGCACATTTTCTCATTAGTTGAAAGTTACGCACCTGGCTGTATGGATCAGTTTGTTGGTATTTTATGAAATAGCGATGCTGGGACATTAAGATATCCTGACAGTAAGCAATATTTTGAACTTACATAAACACAATAAAATACACAGTAAATGTGAGAAATTGCAGTGAGAATGCATGGAAGGTAAAAAGTTAGATGTCTGAATTCTATCAAAATGAAAAACATGACACTTGTTTTTGTGAGAAAGTATTATCTTATAGAAAATATTGAGAAATTATTTGGAATATGAGGTTTTACCTGGCTGAGATTTTTGGTAGCATCCAGTTATAGATGTTCAATTTGACAGTACATAGGGTTAGGTACATTAATCAACATTTCAACCCTCTGAAATCATACTAAATCAACAGTTTTCTTATCACAACTAGACAAATAAAAACTGAAATTTTGCTCAATAAATATTTCTACGAAGATAAATCGAATGTTTTATAGAAGAAAATGCCTATAATAATGACATAGAATCTTCATATAAATAAATAATACACTAATTGGCTTTTGGTTTTGACACATGAATGTACTTATTCAGAACTTGAAGGCCTCCCCACTGTTTTGATAACCCTACCTCCGAAAGGAAGAATATTGTCCCCAGCTTGTTGGATGGGTGGGTGGTGGTGTCTCAATTTACTTTTCTGTCAAATCCAATTTTCAGGAATATTTCTTGAGATGAAAATGTAGAACTGATAAGTTTTTTGGCTTGCTGGGTTGTTTTAAGGTGGCTATTTTTGACTGTAAGGTACGATATTGTCCAACGTGTATCTTTTCATATTGATATTCCAGATAATTGATCATGATGATTTTTGAGCCTAATCACATTCAAGAAATAACGAGCAAGGTTGTTAATCTGACGTGATACATTTTAATAAGACCGATCATAATTGCGCTTATGTTTCTTGTCATGATAATTTATGGAATTCAAACAATTGACTTTGTTATTAGAATATCAAGTAAGAAGTTTGCTTTGACACTCAGGTTCAAGCCAAATGATAGAATTTCTGCTGAGATTTGCTGGGAATGAAAATTGATACAAATACGATCTATGAATAAGTTTAAATGAATTCATGCTATTATTGTTTGTCGGTTTCCTTTAAACTCAATGCCTTTTCTTTTTTAATGTTCATTAAGAAATTGAACTCTTGAAGTGTTTTCATAAAATCATGCATGAGGAGAAATAGATTTTTTGAATGATCATATCTTTTATTTAAATGATAAGAAGAATGCCTATTATTGCACGTGAAATAGAACACTATTGATTTCATGCGATGTCCTTAAAAATAATACTATTAATATACCCTATTATAATTGGAAAGTCATTTTTCATTCTCGGATATAAAGGTGGCATGATTTGGCTTAAGTTGGTGTGAAAGGGCTGAAAAGGGGATCACCCATTTATAACAATTATCCTTTATGGTTAAACCGAAAACATAAAAGATCTGCCCACAATGAGTGACCAGTAAACAATTCAAACAACAATATTTGAACATTAAAATAAATTTGTATGGATGTCACAAAAGGACAGCCTTAATTTATCAAAAATTCACAAAAGAAATTTTGACAGAGAAAATAAGATAATGAACAATAGGGGTCCCATAGTTTATTGTGGGTGCCAAATTAAGGGCTCAGAGGGTCTCAGTTTATAGTAAGGGCATGAACTGTCCTTAGGATTATTTCAGGCTCGTCCTTGTTCTCTTTGTCCATGTTCATTAGACGTGTATTGTTTGAGAAACCTTTCACCACATGCATGAACTTTGGGCAATGGTCAAAATTAAAAAATATATATCATCGATTGACCAGTCAGAGACGATGGGTATATTGTTTTCAATCTATTGTTCTCACACCTTCAGACTGTTAATAACCATATACATCAATTTCTTTACAAGTTAATAATTTGTATTTAACACACATTAAGAACTTTCCCATGATAAAGGAATAATTGATCTTCTGGTAAGGAGTAGCATGGGCGTAAAGGTGTAAATTAATAATGATTAACCCAAGGTTTTTAACAAGCACACCTTTATTTAAAGGTTTGCTGTCAATTATTTTTTCTGAATATTTCCTACATGGCTCCTTTAAGGCCCTTTCTGTTGCCTTATAAATCCTTATAAATTTTTTATCATATCAGATGGAATGTTAATTAGTAATTTCACTGTGTAATAATTTAACACCCCACAGTAGCTAATCAGTTGAAAAATTCCTATTTTCTCATATTCTTAAGTCAAATCAGATCTGCACACATATAGACATCTGGGGTTTAATTAAGAAATAATCCTGTTCACCTTTATGATAAGTAAAGAATGATTTGTGCTTAGTATCTCCCCATGTTTGAGATACCTGCTTGAGAATGCGTCTATTTTGAGGTCGATTTCATAGTTTTATGTCTCGTCTGTAATCTGTTGGCTCATCGTCACCAGGGGGCCGTAGGTAAAAATGACGGGCACATCTTTTAGCTTATAATTGGCTGCTTTATCCCGCTAACAGAACCGACAGATAATCAGGTTTGTTCCGAAAAAACAGCAGGGTTCGCAGTATTTTCTGAGTTCTTCACCTATTTTCTTGCGTTAGTTATCTCTCTTTTGGTTTGAATTAAATTCTCCCCGTTAGTTGTCATAAATCATCGCCATTCTTTCTGACAGTTTCAATGATTAAACTAAAGATCATTTTCATATCCAGTGGCTTTTCTTGATTTTAATACTCATTTAGCAGTGATACTTCCTGCAAATTATGCTCTTGTTAGACCTTTCAGAATGCTAACTGCCTGATAAATCCATCATCTTTTCTTCGCATTTTCTCTGTGTAATTTCAATAGAGTGTTTGATTTTCTTGCATTTTTATATGATAAAAAGTCCAGAGTCCTTGCTTTTTCACTTAAACAATTATCATGTTCTCTCTCTTTCACTATAGTTTGTGTTTTGAAATATCTGTTTTTTTTCATGGGCATGCTCCATGCTTTCCTGATGAGACTTGTTTATCATTGACCAACATAGGGGGCACATAAGATGCATTTTGTGTAATTAAAACCTATTTTTTAAATTGGAAATAGTTTGTGGTTATATTTATTCAACAAGGATGCTGGGTGATTTACTGACTTAGAGAAATAAGGATACATTGTGTTGTAAATTAAGCAAATGTGTTTTTAATTGAAAAATCTGTGACTTATTGTTTTTCACTTTCTTTATTTCAGACTTGACTAACCAGTCCCGTAGCTCTGCAAATTCACCCCTTGCCACTCCATGCTCTACCTCACCATGTCACTCCCCGCAATTGCACATGTCACCACATACAGCAGCGCCACCTAATGTCAACTTGTGGAACAACTCAGGGTTACCCATAATGCACCAGCATCACCAGCAGACGGATGATGACCAACCGCTCAATCTCACTAAGCCAAAGTCCAGTAGTGTGGGTAGTCAGCGAGCTGCGTCACAGATCATCCAACGCTCACCAGAGACTGAGAACCCACGGGAAATTGGACAAGAGAAGGCGTTGGCTGCACCCCCTCCAGCTCACAGCAACAGCACCTGGAAGAAGCAGTCTCCATTGGCATCACCCCATGAGATGGCACGTCAACCTTTCGGAATTGTTCCACCGTTTTCACCTTACTCAGGAATGTCACGCGCCACCCCTGCGATGTCTGTCAATAACATGATGGCCCATCACAGAAGCCTCTCCCCCAAGCACTCTCCCCCACCCCCCAGTCGACAGGAAACCAAGTCTGGCTTAGATAAATTACACGTAGGTCACAATCATCCACTTAGTCACCATGAAAAAAATTTCACATACCATAATTATATCACAATATTATTATTATTATTATTATAGTATATTAGTATCACAATTATAAGCACCCAAATTAGAAAATCCAGTGTATATAAATGAAGCTAACTATCCTTGGTTTTACATGACAGGAAAAATGATGTGTATTTCTTTTGTAACCTTCAGGAGAAACTTGTACAAGAGACTATGGCTCGCCAAGCGGCAGTTAGCTCTGCAGGTGGCGCACTCTTTTATCCTGGTTTACCACTCCCCATGTATGCCAACACCCCAACGATGGTCCCACATGGGATGGGAATGCCAATGATGAGGCCAGAGAAATCGCAAATGGAGATGCCCAAAGAGGAAAGTCAAGATGGCGGCTACGTGCAACACTTGCAAAGTAGGTTGATGGAGGAATCGGCTGGGGATACAAGTAGGTCCATGTTTTAGATATATCCTTGCTACCATTTCATGATGCTCAGGCTTTAACTTTTGAATTACGGTACATCATTCCCCTCTATCTCAAACCTTTAGAAAGGGGAGAGGGAGTGGGAAAGGGGGAGGTTTTTTATCTCCTTGTGGGAGGGCACTGAATGGGATATCACTGGGCGGCTGACATTAATGCAATAACAATGGAAGTATACAGTTATGTACATGTATTATAGACTTTATGGAAAGGAACTCATTATAGTGGGAAAAAGGATGAAATATTAAATTGAAATACAGAGTTGATTATCAAATGAGCATCATCTTATGAATAGCAAGGAAACGCTGCTTTGCCTTACTGTCATGACATGTAATCTTCACTCCTTCACTGTATTTTGTCACATTGATGTGTCACCTGTGTTTTTGTCACATTTTCATGTCACCTTTGTAAGTGTCACATTTTGCTCTCCTATTGTAATGACATCGCAGCTTGTAGTGGCTTTTAGATTTAGAATTTGTAAGTGATTTGTAAGTCTAAATAATTAAAAGTCTGCACCATGCAACACAGCTTACTAAAAGATTAAGACTACTTAATTTATGCAAACTCAAATAGATGTTAAATTACTAATATTCCACACAAATTTTCTATTTATTTGTTAACATTTTATGGAAATAAATTGTTTATTAAAGAGATAATAAAACAATTGTTCATCCATTATTTCAGGTAAAATGTTTGGTGCTAAGATTATTAGGTCCCAGAAAGAAAAGAATGACCCGAACAAACCTCATGTGAAGCGACCAATGAATGCCTTCATGGTTTGGGCACGGGAAGAGAGACGCAAGATTCTCAAGGCCTGCCCCGATATGCATAACTCTAACATTAGTAAAATTTTAGGTAAGAATAAAAGATTATTGATATTTAGAACGTAGTTTTTTGTGGTTTGGGTTTATTTTGTTTGACTATAATTTCAGTATTAAAAACAAAATCAAAATGTTTTTGAAAACTGATCGATGCAATGTTATGAAACATTTGATGTAAAAATTTTAGGGGGTTGTTCAAAATATTTTACGATGAAGGTGCTGAGAGGGTTGTTCAAAAACTAATTGTTTTGATTCTAACAGGGTCCATGTGGAGACAAATGACTGATGAACAGAAGGCGCCTTTCTTCAAGGAGCAACATCGATTGAGTGAAATACACAAAGAGAAATGTAAACAATTATTGGCATTTTTGCCTGCGGGGAAACTTTAGATTGCTAGAGCATCATATTGAAGATGCTTGCATTCTAATGTTCGCTCCGTTTTTGCAAGCCAGTCTCGTCGCTAAATAAATGTATCATATCTTAAACAATTTCTCAAACTATAGAACTGACACGCTAGAATTTCAAGTTTTCAAAATTTTGATTTTTAAAAAATTTCATTTTAAGTTCTGTGTGTTATTTGGTTTTCATACATAGACATTAGAGGTGTGATTTACTTGATAGATCAGGTTTTAGCAGTGTGACAGATATTTGGCATAGAAGTGTGGGATTTAGACAGATCGGAACAGGGTTACTGGCCTATTCTAGTCGTTCATACGACCCTTAGACTTCCTAGATTTTCCCATAATTGCTTTAGCTCTGCTATGCATGACTGAGTTTATACAAATATGAATGTGTGTTGAGTAGAATGCATGAACCACAAGCTATCAAAGTTTTCTTCTTTCAATATTTTTCTCAGAAATTTCTTAGAATTTTCTCAGAATTCTTTTAACTCCACCTAGAACTGTCTGTATTAAATTTCTTCATCTTGCATGTTGAAACTCTTTTTACCGATACTATTCTTTTTCAATGTCCAAGCACAATTCTTGAAACTACCTCATTTTAAAAATATCTCCATAATCTTTCTTTGCTCTCTCTGCTCAGCATTATATTGAAATCTTGCTGCCTTTAACGCAACTTGAACATGTCCCGTAATACATCTTAAGATGCCAGTAGCCTTTTTCCGGGGCAAAGGTTTGAGATATGAGAAAAAGCGATCAGACATTTATGAAATTCTGGCTATGTATGCATGACTTTTTCCTTTTAGATTTTCCTTCCAATATGACCCATGAACTTAGGAGACATCTATTGAAAGCATGAATTAATATTTCTATCAATTGAATTTAAAAAAGAATTAAAAAAAATCTCATAAAGATGGCGTAACATACCAACAAAGAAAACATCCTATATTTCTAAGAAATTAAAAACCAAAAATGAGAAGACTAACTGACCAGCATGAATTATTAACATAAAAATTCATAGGAATAAAAAATAAAGCATGTTGTAGAAAATTGAATTTTCAATACTTTATTTTAAAGTTTTCTTTGAATAGTTTAACCACTCATTTTTCTGTTAAATCTTTCCCGAGATATGATACATTTATATCAAGTTTTAATCTCGACAACATGAAATACAAATTCATCTTTTGAACAAGTCTCATCCTTTAGAATGATTAATAATCCAGTTGCATTCATTACTTCATCATTACAGGCTTCCAGATGGAATTAACCAACCAAAGATCCCATTGGATTCACTCCTTGCTCAGATGGACACCCCACATTCAATTCATTTTCATGAACCACCACAAATAAAACAAGCAATAATTCCCCTACCCCTTTTATCATTACACCTCAAGTTTAACATTGAGTTTGCTATATGTTTACCCTGTCTGTTTTTAAAGGTGCTAAATGGAAAGCAATGTCAAATGCGGATAAACAGCCATTCTACGAGGAACAGTCACGGTTGAGTAAGATCCACATGGAGAAACACCCTGACTATAGATACAGGTAAATATACGTATTGAGACGTAAAAAAATGAAATAGGTTTGCATTTTGTTTACCACCAATACTGGTGATCAATACCTCTTGGTGTCCAAATATCAATCAATAAAACATGAATAATTTGTTTCACTGCCAAAATATTTACTCAACAGCACATTCTCTGATCATGACCAATAATGACTAAGTATTTAAATTAAAGCAAAGTTCTACTATAAATTATATTGCAAATCATTTTATTCCAGACCTAGGCCAAAGCGCACCATCTTTGTTAATGGAAAGAAGATGAAGCTCCCAGAATACAAGGCTCTGATGAAACAGACCCGTAACACTAATCTGGGTTCTTTCTATGGGCAGGAGTCACCCAGCTTTGCCCCTACCAGTATGCCTAGCCATTGTAAGTAATAAGTAAAATATAATATCTAGATTTAAAAACCTTGAACTAATTATATTAATAAATGTGCCTTAATAAAAGAAAAATATAACTTTTTGATGACTTCTGATGATTTTGAAATTGTTAACGAATTGATACATTTTATAAATAAACTTTTTAATCAGCGTCGGGAGCTATTTGAAAAAGGAAAGATTGTATGATAGTATTTGTGAAACAATGCATGTTGTTTTTTTTAACTGTATAATTATATGTAAATGTCTTGTAATTGATTTTGTGAGGAAAACAAGTGTTTGGTTTGAAACACAATAAAATCTTGAATCTTGTCTATGAAGTAGTAATGGGAGAGTGAAATCAGCAAGGAATTGATTCACAAGAGATCTCATTTGTATTTTTCACAAAAGTATCAAGGTGATAGTTATTAAATGAAACATGTTCTTTTTTCAGCAAATGGATCATCTCCGCCATCTTTATTACCCAGCATGCCATCTACTTCCCCTAATCAGTTTATGGGAATGGGAGAACCATCACACCTTGCTGCCCAACACGCAGCATTTCTCCAGCAACAACACCTTCAGCTTAGAAATCTTAGACATGAAGAGGACATGGCTAAAAGCCGTCCCAATGACGATGATGAGGATGATTTAAGTGACTCTAGTGCCGACAATGTGTCTGAAAATGTATTCCCCGAGCCAACCAGAATGGAGACTGCCTCCTAGATCTCAAAATGGCAGATGTGTCACATTGAATACATCATTAACCCTTTTGGGCCAAACTTATCTATCTAATCTGAAATGATTAATGAGGGATTCATTAAAGTGGACTTGCAAGGGTTAAAAAATCCTAGACTGATAAAGTTCATTATTTACATCTGCCAGCCATCTATATTTAAGAAGACAAACCAACCATGACGGAAACATTCACTGAACTGTACATATATATAATGTGTCTTATGACTGCTTCCAGTCCATAGGGGGCTGTATATTTAAGACTTGAACTGAGGGCAAAATCATGACAAGGTGCTTATTTAAGTTTAATGTATACAATATGGCTTCCCTTGTTTGCACAACTTCAGTGTGAAGGCCATTTGGTTTCCATGACAACGAACATAAATTATATGGTAACCATGACAACGAACAAACAACAGCTGACTGAATATGTGTCAAAAAACAAAAAATTGTAGCTTCAAAATGTGTAATAAGCAATATTGACTGTATGGAAGATTTAGATTTCTAGTTTGACAAACTCTACATTTTTAACCCATTGTGACTCCGTGAGACTCCCTTATGGATAGGGGACACCAAAGGGTAAAATTGATGTAGAGTAAATGTACATGTATTTAGATTTCAAGTGTTGTAGTATGTTATTAAACATCTATTTTATACTGTACCCTGCTTCCTAATAAGGTGGTGGCAATTTAATGTAATCACACCAAACTTGTATATAAAACTATAGCTTAACATTGCAATTGATGAATAGCAATTCCACATTGTTGTACAGAAAAGAAGTGGCTGCAATTTTTTGTTTCTTGAAAAGTATAATGCAATAAATATTTGTGTAATAATCAGTGTAATATTATCTATACAAGTGTTTGCCATATATAGCCTTTTGGCTATACATGTTTATCCAAATATGGGCATCGGGTATTAAATATGCCCATTTATGGAGCATGTAAGAAATCTCATCGAAGGTGCTTTTAGTACATATAAGTATATGAAGTTAAGAATTATTGGTTTAAAATGAGAGTTTAGATTATCCAGATGAAATAAATTGATTCTAAAAGAAGTGGAAATTTTGTAAGTAATTCAAACAAAATAAATGTAAATAGAGCAACAAATAGTGTAATACACAATGAAAAGTGTAACACACAAATAACAGTGTAATACATAAGTGTAATCTGCTGGGACTTAGTCAATATTGAACCATGGAGAGATGTGCAATATTTGGTCAAATCACAAGCCAGGTAAAATTCACTGCGGTCCTGTTCTTATTCACTGTGGTCCTATACTATTCTTCGCAAATGATATTCTAATTTAAAGTACATACGTATATCATTTGAAGTAAAAAACCGAAATTGACCAATTCAAGTAAATTGACTGGTCGATACTTCAAGAATATTTTGTACATGAAACCCCTTCTACCCTATCCAACCTACACTGTTTTTGACTGATAATTTCTTGTTAGAATAGATGTTGGATTTCGATCCCAGCATACCTTGAGTAGCAAGGAATGTTGGGAAGGATCAACCTTTATTGCATGTTTTTGAAGAATGTAATATTGCTAAAAATTTGCAAGAACAATTGAATATATTTTGAAATGTTTTACAAATATTTTTAGTTAGGTCAAGGTGTCATGACAACCTGTTATTTTGTTATTTGTTTGGCATAATAGCCATTTATAGGCAAACTTACATTTTGTATAGGCAATCTTATTGTACTATTTTGTATAGGCAAATGTATTGTACAATTTTGTAGAGGCAAATATATTGTACCATTTTGCATAGGTAAACTTACTGTACTATATTAGGTGGAATGTTGATTGACTAAATGAAATAAAACAGAGAAACATGAAATGTGGACAGGCCAGTGGAAATTTCCATTGAGGTCCACCTTTTGTGTTTTCCTGTTCCAAATACTTGTATATTGTAAATAGAATATTGAAAATAGGACCAATTTTTATAAGTATTTGTAGCATATGAAAATGGTTACTTTATGGGTGACTGATATATAAGAGGGTATATGTTTAATATAAGTTACTGTGAATATGGAATATGAAATGAGTGATTTATGAACAAAAATGAATTTGAAATTGTATAAATTAAACTATAAAATTGAATATGTGTTGACTAACAAATGAAATCCATTGCATAAATGTGCTCTAAATTATTTTCAGTTGTTTTTGATAATTGGTTGTTTGAGGAATGCCAGAGTTTACCTTGCCTTGAGATAAGTGTTCACAGTATAAAAGAAATTTGAGTTTTTTGGAAAATAAGCAATTTGTGTTAAGAAACATTTTGTTTGTTTCCTTCATAACAGTGTCATAACAGAATGCAATATTGATATGATTTTAAATTTTCTCAGGGTTTTAGTTATCTGTACTTCCTAATTTACAGTGTGGAAATATGAATGCTTAGTCTCCAACTTTAAACAAATCTCTTAATCTTAGAATATCCATAGAATCAAGGATACCAAGAAAACCTTACACAATGAACAATTTTCTTTACAGACATGGTGTTAAGAGATATTTTCAGCTTGTTTTTTGTTTTTCAAATGCTTATCTGTTGTGTGACTTACTGACTTATGGGACTAGGCTAACTTACAACCAATATAAAGTGTGTGACTATATACTGTAAAGAATATATTAAGCTAAAATGGTGCAAAGAAATATACGCCATTCATAAATTGTTAAACTAACTTATGAAGATGTAATAATTTAATATTATATAATATATATATATAAAACTTGTTTTTGTAAATCTAAATGGAGGAATGTTACTGCGATGATGATATCATTGGATTGATATTATCAGAGTTAATATTTGCTCTATTTTGATTGGTTGCCCAAATGTTATGTTAAATAGAGTTCGTAGAAGCTTATACCTGTGGATACATATCTTTATGTAGGAATATTCATAGAAATCTAAGTTGATAATAAAAGGTTCTTAAAAATATTTAATTGCATTGTTTTATTGATCATTTATACATGTACATTGTTTACATGGATATTGGTAGATATATTATTTGATGATATTTTCATGAAACTCTTCAACTTATGAAATTGAAATAATCTGCCACTCATCATTTCTATTAGCTGACCAGTGACCAGGTAGGTACATATGATATGGCAGACTCTCACATTCACAAAATTTAGTGGATTGAACCTGCAACTTGCGTGACTTGTGACAGAATTCTCAGTTCAATTTTCTTCATCTTTATCAATCATTTTTAACATGACATACAAACATATGACTGGCCATGGTAAAACCGAGTCAATGATTTGACATAAATATACTTCAGCAACTAATATTACCTGAACAGTCAAACCACGCTTGATCAAACCAACTAATGTATTTAGCAAATCATTAGAGCTGATCCTTGTATTACCTTGTGTCTACTGAACAATCAAAAATGGAAGACAGAACATGTAGTCTTAGCTTTTACTCTAGCCAAGAGCACCTGATATGAATTTAATATATAAATACCTAATAGGTACAAAATAACATTTTTCATGCAATAACACTGCAGGGACTCTCCAATCATATTGGCATTTATTTTCTCAGTTGCAGCGTTAGGTTTGAATTCATTTTGAGGTAAATAGTACAATGAAGAATGCAATGCATTGACCCTGAGCTTTAAAAACCAATTGGGGAATGTTTTACTGAATATTGAGATAAAAAATAAACACAAAGACCCTGATTTGATTATAGCTCAACCCAAGGAGCACAGATCTGGTCCCATAGAGTATTCATCTATAACATTTATAAGTTTTGGGTATGGTTACAGTTGTTGAAATCGATCAGGGTTTTATATTTTAGAATATAGCTTCAAAAATAGGTAAAGTGACATAATTGGATAGTGGATAACAGCCTCAGATTGAGCTATTTCTGGAGGCTGGGTATATATTATAGCCCATGTACATGTATATTAATGCCCGAGTCACTTTTGATTAGTTTTGAACAAAATACTCAAATGGCCAGGCACCAGCCAAATCAGAGCAAAAGTGACTCAGGCATAAATCAGCTCAATTCTAACCAATATGAACCTTAAAGGTTATACCTAAAGTTATGGGTCCCATGCATTGCGAGTAGATTCAGACTGGGCTAAGTCCAGATTATTCAGGTTTGACCTGTTCTGGACACATTCCAAGAAAAACCAACTAAACCTGACCCGAAGGGTAATGCCCATTGTCACCCAACCATGGGTCAACTGACCCAAGTCCAGTTTAGTGTTACATGGCTAAGAGCATTGTTCCAAGTAAGCGTCATACCCTGCTTGCTGATAGGTGGCAGCAGTGGTTGCAGGGTCATCAGAGTTCATGATACCTCGACCGACAATGATGATATCAGAGTTTCGCTTTGTGATAACCTCTTTAGGAGTAAGGTACTGCTGCCCAAGGCTGTCTGTCCCTTCCACCAACTTTACACCTGGAAATGTACATTCAAACATGACTTGATATATGAGGCAAAATAGACTAGGTTGAATAAGAGTAAGGTAGCCTAAGTCTAAGTCTGACGCTCTAATATTTTGATCCTCCTGCCATATATGGCTATATATCATTCATTTGGTGTTCTGGGGGACTAGAAATTCTGTAAGTGAAACACTTTTCAAAGTCCAACTTCTCATCTACTAATTATTATAAAATGAACCTCCACAGAGAAACATGATTTTGACGTATCAAAGGCATCATACTTTCACAGGGTTTACTGTTACTTAGCACTAATCTGTGTCTCACATCAATTATTATTCCTTTCAAGACAAGATCAATTTGGTTCTTCATCTACAACTGTGTATTCTTACCTGGAGTCATATGTATGAAGTTGGGGTCCTTAGACAACTGGGACTGGCAGATATAGCCCACGACAAAGTCTTGGTTCTCTTCTGCCATCTTTACACAGGCTGAAAACACAAAATACCATGCAAGTACATGCTACATTATCTCATCTGACTGTGCAATACTCAAGGGAGGCAATGATCGGATAGATTCAATATTTTTCATCCTGAAAATATTTTTCTGAATGTATAAAGATGATTATTCCAGTTTAGTTTATACCTACACATGGGGATTAAACCTTAAAATCAACACTAAGTTGTTTTTACATGTATGGCGTCAGAGAGGCGATACAGTGTACATGTGCATTATATGTTGTATTTTGTGTACATGTATATTGTGAATAATTTACTGCCAGCAATTATTTAGTGCCATGTCCAAACAAAAATATAATAATAACTCAGGAAACAATAATACCTAAAACACTTGACAAAGACATATGAAAAATTTATATTTTTCAAAAAAGTATTGAAAATTTAATGTTTCAACATTCTTCAGAAAATTATTTTCAATGTGCAACTATTAATTAATCCAGATAAATGATTGCCTCCAAACTTAACCAGTTGGAAATATTTGCAATAATCCCAAAAAATAATAGACCAGAGTTGAAAATCAAATAACAGATCAGTTGTTATATTATTTTCATGCATGAGTAAAAATCAGCTAGTCTGGAGCAAACCTAACTGGCCTCATGCCTGTAGGCCAGTGCTTAAGTCACATGATGTACTGTCTGTTCACATACCTTTTGTATATTCTCCTGTTGCAACATTTCCCTTTGAGCTCATTTCTGCTATCAACAAAAGCGCCCTCTTTCCAGTTAACCCTTTCTCTCCTGCAGCCGATTTTAACCCTTCAATGATCCCAGGCCCAGGAATGATGTGAGCATTTATGATATCAGACCATTCTGAGATTTTGTAAATGCCTTCTGAGTATTGCTTTTTCACTGTATTTCCAATGTCTGCAAACTTCCTATTAATGAACAAGACACACCATGTAATGGACAATATCATAAAATTAAAGACAGACACCATAAAATCTACCCAGTAATACCAAAATCTCATAACTTGATTAGGTACTTAGAAATTAGTACAGAATAGGCTTCCATATGATAAAGATATGGATGCCTTTCACTTATTTATATTTACATTTATTTTAAGACATTTAATATAGTGGTTCGCCAACTCCTATTAGACGATTAGATTATTAATGACATACTTTCACTTCAGAGTTTTGAAACATGATGAGAGTCTACAGAAAATCATTTACATACCTATCCTCAAAGAGTAAGAAATTATGTTTAGAAGCAAGATTCTTGAGTTTATGGATATTCTCCGCAGTAAAGTCAGTTATGATGTCTATATGTGTCTTTAGTATACAAATATATGGACCAACTTTCTCAACCACCTGTAAAATAAATTATGTCAGTATATCACTATAGAGTACTTAAATTATATTTTCAAAGGACATGTTTCATTTGTGGTTGGTTGGAAATAATTCAGTGAAGAACTTTGACTTGAAATTTTGGTGTCTGATACCCTTATGCTTGATCACTAATGAGTGAAGTATGCAAAAGTATAGAATATGAAATACTCTGACTTGGTATCTTTATTACAAATCAATTTCATAAATTCAATAAATTGTTCATAAAAAGGAGTCTCATGGAGTGACTATACACTGTTCTTCACAAGATTTTTTCTCAAGTGGGTGCACAATTCTCATTTTCACAATTTAGAAACTTGGTCAAAATATGTGATTTTTCGTTATTTTTCTCACTTTCAAGTGGGTGCAAATGAATTCTCAGGGGGGTGCAAGCCTGTTTTCAAAATTTCAGGTAGATGCTGCGCCCACTTGCTTTAATGCTGGGAAGATCACTCCTATAGCTTCTATGTATAATAAAAAACAAAAAAAAATCATACCTCTAAAAGTTCTGCGAATGATGTAGTGTCCCCTGAGAAACATAGATTGGTTTTCTTCTCTTCCATTATGCCATATAATCTCTTCAATACCTCATGCTTGCATTGTGACTGCCTTTCTGGATAAGTTAGCACCTAAATTTCAAATAAAATTTATTAAGTAATTTCCAGAAAATATATAGTGTTTATGGGTTCAATGTTTTAAACAAGCTCTGATATGTGCCCTATGTAGTCTTCAATTATTGCACTTTCTTACGTATGTTAATGATACCTAAATGTTAAAGGCATTTCTGACCTATAAGCTACTGGGAATTTCCTTTTGTTCAAAGTTTGCTGAGTTACTTTCCTTTAAAATGAAGAGTCAGATGATTAAAAGACACCTGGGCCTTTCCTTTTGTAAAACCAAACTCACCTTTTTCACTTTCTTTTGCTGAGCATCACCCATTCCATCAGCCGGACGTTTTATGTTATTTCCAAATGTGTTGTTAGAAGCAATGAAATCTTGAACTCTCTGCACCGTATCTCTGTCTAATTTCTTAGCTTTCTCCAGTATATCTAACACTTGTGATATCTTACACACACTACAATGTAAAAAAATACGAGGGTTATATATTGGGAGGTGTTAGATATGGAATTTATGCTGCATAAATAACTATAATAGGACAATAGGAGGGTTGATTTGGATATTGAATCTATCTATTTGGAAAATATTGCAATAGATGAATATGAACGGTATGTAGAGTCAAGTTTTGAGAACTTTTTATTTAGTTTTTTAAGAAAATAAGTTCATCTGTTACTATTTTTTGTAAACTCATGAGTATAACAACGATTATTCAGCATATTCACTCCTTTCTTTATAGACTTAAGTATCAGATATCTAGACATACAATTTCTAGAATTGACCATAGTTGGGATATCAAATATAACCATAGTACCATACCATCATTTTTTGCCGCATGCATCTTACTCTATTCACACAAACATGACAAGGGAGAGACTACTTAACAATATTGATCAATTCCATAGCATAAAAGAGGCTGTTATATTTTGATTTCACTTATTCATTTCATAAATTACCTATGTAGTGTGACTCCTTCACTTGCTAATCTTTGTTCCCCTCCTTGTTCCCTGTTGAGTAGCACCACTGCATCTTTCACTTTGATCCCTTCATTATTAAGAGTCTAGAAAGTCAATGAATGAGGCACTTATAAAATTTAATCTTTGTTCCCCTCCTTGTTCTCTGTTGAGTAGCACCACTGCATCTTTCACTTTGATCCCTTCATTATTAAGAGTCTAGAAAGTCAATGAATGAGGCACTTATAAAATTTGAGAGACATGATATTCATAATGCTCTGTCTTTCATTAGTCAGAGTCTAAAAAGTCAATGAATAAAGCGTTTATAAAATATGAGAGACGTGATATTCATAATGCTCTGTCTCCCATTAGTCAGAGTCTAGAAAGTCAATGAATAAAGCGCTTATAAAATATGAGAGACATGATATTCATAATGCTCTGTCTCCCATTAGTCAGAGTCTAGAAAGTCAATAAATGAAGCGCTTACAAAATATGAGAGACATGATATTCATAATGCTCTGTCTTCCATTAGTCAAGAGTCTAAAAAGTCAATGAATAAAGCGCTTACAAAATATGAGAGACATGATATTCATAATGCTCTGTCTCCCATTAGTCAGAGTCTAGAAAGTCAATGAATAAAGCGATTATAAAATATGAGAGACATGATATTCATAATGCTCTGTCTCCCATTAGTCAGAGTCTAGAAAGTCAATGAATGAAGCGCTTACAAAATATGAGAGACATGATATTCATAATGCTCTGTCTTCCATTAGTCAGAGTCTAGAAAGTCAATGAATGAAATACTGCAGGTAGACTGTAAATCTAGTAAATCTAGTAAATCTAGTAAAACTAGTAAATCTAGTAAAATCTTGTAAAAACTTGAATATTCAATGTCTAGGATATAAGTGCAAATGTCGAAAAAGCACCGAAAATGCCTTTGTATGAATGAAATGAACATGTAGAAAAAAATCTACCTTTTATTTCATTATATTTAGTTACAAAACAACTATATGTTAGTACTGGATAACAAAATGGTTATCAAATGGTACACCCATTTTATCATCATACACAACCCACCCAAGAAGCATGCTCTATTAACAAATTAAGCCACACATTTAAGGACTGGGGGGACAATGCGTACCATCTAAATGACACAGGCTTGTTTTTCCCTCACAAAATGTTATAATGCTTAGTCTATCAGATAATTTAGTTATTGCTTATTTTTTGGCGATGCTGTTCAATTGACAATATTTGTAGAAGTTCCAATGTTAGAGGAATGGATAAATGGCAATTTCAAAATTGATTTTTGCCAACCCCCAAAATAATAAAAACAATCAAATGCTGTAGTAAGGGGAAGAGTGAGACAACTTACTGGTTGATCTATTTGCTTTACCTATACATAAAGTATAGTATGACATTTCTATAATGCTTTCCATTTACGTTTTGATGATGATATGTTCCTTGTATTCCTTGTAATTAATAGTTAAAAGCCATATCATATCAGCCCCTTAAACATTCTTTTTAATTATAATATTTCACAATTTTGTTAAAAAAATTGTTTACTGATTATTTGGTGAAAGGAATGACTCTGAATTTTAATGCAGAGAAGGTATTTTTCTAATGCTGTAAAAGGAATCATAATCACCAGTACTCTTCATAGAGACTGACATCGACATCAAATGAATGGTCCCTAAAAAGTTTACAAGATTTTACTAGATTTTACTAGATTTACTAGATTTAGATTTACTAGATTTACTAGATTTACAGTCTACCAATACTGCATCATTCATCTTAATCATTTCTAGATTCATTCAGACAAACTTAGGTAATTTACTGGTGTTCAAGCACGAAGAATGGTTGAGGCAAAATCAAAATATTGACTCTCCAAATGGAAATGTGCTTCTGCATCCAATGATTTTCATTACTAATATATTTCCAAGAAGAACTGATTTGATTTGCACTTGAGAATATAGATCAGAATACAGTAGGTATTGCTAATTTTAGAACAATTAGTTCTTTTTGAAAATTTTCAAACCTAAGGATTATCCACCTGAGTAATTTAAAAGCTAGCAATACATATTAAACACCATGCTTATAAAATCAATAGCCGTTAAAGTTTCATGTTGAGAGAGGTGGGGGTCTGAGGTCTGACAAATGGGAAATTAAATCAAGCTTACACAGGACTTTGTACATTTGAACACCTCTCAAATCAGAACACATCTCACTGAGAACACTTTTTCCATCTTTCTCTCATTGACTCACATATTTGAAATGTGAACACCCCATGATCTTAACACTTTTGGCTGGTCCCAGTGGTGTTCCAATTAAACAAATTTTAAGTGTATTAGATTGTAAGTGTACAGCAATGTGGCCTAATTGTGACGTCACTACAAGATAGAATCAACCAAGTGATCGCAAATCACCAATAAGACAGGTTTTACTGTAAGTGTATTAAATACCTGAACTGTTTCAGACACACTGGTCCCACTGGTAACCACATCTTCAACAATAAGGCACACGTCACCTTTCTTAAAGTGGCCTTCAATCATCTTCTTTGTCCCATAATCCTTCATCTCCTTACGTCGTATCAACATTGGGACGTTGTGCGCTGTTGACATACACTGGAACACATAAATTCCTAATATGGTTATTATAATCATTATGTTTATTTTATCCATCAGTTTTGATGAATACTTAGTATGAGAGTATATTTAGTATGACAACATTTATACAATATCTTATGTAGTTTTGTAGTTTACAATTTTATCTTGATACAGTTAAGATACCAGAAAGTTGCATTCTATTGGTCATTTGTCACTGTACCATTATCATCCAACTCACTCAAACATGATAAAAGAGAGACTATTGTATAAAAATTAGTACCGTGGGTACTGGGCTCACATGGTGTTGCTCAAAAATGAATGATGGCTACAATGACAATGCAGGACAACTGAAATTATTTGTAAAGCTAAGAATGGGGCAAAAAAGAATTTCCCGAAACAAAAATGGCGGCCATTTTGAAAATACCTTTTGAACCAGGAGTCATAAGGGAGTTTTTTGTATTGATGTTGAACAAAAAAAACTTTAAACTGGAATCCTATCAACAGAGATTTCAAGGCAAATGGTCCAAAAGTGGATTTCGTGAGACAGATGAACAAATCAATGTTAACTAAAATGGCTGAAAATAAAAAAACGGATATAATTTTTTGCCGATTTTTTGTAACAAAATTATTTCATAAAACAACTCTTAACAGTGACGTGGCTTTTTACAATGCAGGACACCTGAAATTATTTGTAATGCTAGGAAATAGGCCAAAAGTGAATATCGCTAAACAAAAATGGCGGCCATTTTGAAAATAGCCGAGCTTTTGAACCAGGAGTCATAGGGGGGTCTTCTGTATTGATGTTGTACAGAAATAACCTAAAACAGGAATCCTATCGACAGCGGTTTTAAGGCAAATGGTCCAAAAAGTGGATTTCGCGAGACAGATGGACAAATCAATGTTAACTAAAATGGCAGAAAATAAAAAAAATGGATATAATTTTTTGCCGATTTTTTGTAACAAAATTATTTCATGCATCCACTCTTTACATTGACATGGGATTTTACAATGCAGGACACCTGAAATTATTTGTAAAGCTAGGAAATGAGTCAAAAGTGAATTTCGCGAGACAAAAATGGCGGCCATTTTGAAAATAGGCAAGCTTTTGAACCAGGAGTCATAGGGGAGTCTTCTGTATTGATGTTGAACAGAAATAACCTAAAACAGGAATCCTATCGACAGAGGTTTCGAAACTTGCCATTATTGTTGACAGAAAAGTGGATTTCACAAGTCAGATAGACAAATCAATGTTAACTAAAATGGCTGAAAATAAAAAAATGGATATAACTTTTTGCCGATTTTTTGTAACAAAATTATATGATACATCTACTCTTTACATTGACATGGATTTTGACAATGTAAGACACCTAAAATTATTTGTAACCCTAGGAAATTGGTCAAAAGTGAATTTTGTGAGACAAAAATGGCGGCCATTTTGAAAATAGGCGAGTTTTTGAACCAGGAGTCATAGGGGAGTTTTCTATATTGATGTTGAACAGAAATAACTTAAATCGGGAATCCTATCGACAGAGATTTTAAAATGTGCCACTATTGTTGACGGACGGACAGACGTACGGACGCACGGACAGACAGACGGACAAGTGAGTGATTGCAAAAGCTCACCATGTGAGCTAAAAATCAATCATATTTTAGAGTAGACATGAAACCTTTTTGTATGTTTTAGATAACTAGTTTTATGTGCAGTTGACCAGGGGCCTTTTGTAATTTAGGATGTTTCAGCCATGAGAATTATTTCGAAAATAATTTCAGAGAATACCAGTATGTATTACTATTTAATACAAAAGGCCACATATTTGTTAGCCAAATGACAAGCAACCTAAATCATACAAACATTTTTATACCTAAAACGGGAATTAATTTTCCATATACTGCAATATTGCATGGTAGTTCTTTGATTGCTATTTTTACATTTGATAGGCTAAAATCGCATGTACTGAACATACTTACTGTTGCAATAGGTAGAGCAGTGTAAGGAACACCACACACTGATGCAAACTCAGTCTTAGATGCTTCAACAGCCTTCCATAGGTGTTCAGAGACTTCTACCTATATATAAAAAACAATTCAACTCAATGGATGATCATACAACACCAATGACTATGGTCTTGAAGATGTTGCTCACACTTACAAAGTTTTACAGTACCTATAGAAATGGATAGGAGACTTATACTGAAATAATGGTGCCAGACTACCCTTTGCATTCGTTCATCTTCAGTAGTTTAAAGGCAGAATCAGACCTATAGAAGGCAACAAAATTGCAAGCAACATGTACATTTTACCTACCAATGTGTTCCTTACAAGCACAAATATAATATCTCCCAAAAGATCTGTGACATGTTATAAATTGGTGAAGTTATTTAAGATTCTAGTGCAAAAATGGGTGAAAAATGTTGAAATTCTCCCAAATAATAAGAATGGTAACCATTCTTATAGAAAAATAATAATACATTATTGTAAAAATCTTCAGTTTTCCTGAAATGAAGTGTGCACTTTGGGTATTTTTTTGTAGAAAATAGACATGACAAGGAATGACATGAGCCATAAATATTCTAAAACTGAAACAATTTTTTGTTTGCCTGCCCGCTAGATCTGATACTCTCTTAAACTAAACTCTGCGCACAGGGTAGTGCCAGACTATATAATGGCTGCTGGAGGTACTGTAGTTTTCACCATGGGCTTTGGAAAGTTGAAAGCCCATGTTTTCACGTACATGCAGGCCCGTAGCCAGGGGGGTTCGCAGGGTTCGGGCGAACCCCCCTGGCCAAAAATTCTTTCAAAATCATGCAGTTTTTGACCATTTTGAGCACTTCTCTAGTGATTTAAGCCTAATTTGGGCCAAAATTGTCAAATGTGAACCCCCCCTGGAAATTTTTGAAAATTGAACCCCCCCTTGGCAAATCCTGGCTACGGGCCTGTACATGTATATGGGCATTCTCTGACATATGACCTGCCAACATTTTATATGACGATTGTTCTTTTAGTATGACATCATTGGTATCATTTTTCACGTATACCCAGTTAGGCGCCCCTAGTAGCAAAGTAAGGCTGAGACAAGGTTCCTCAAGTTCCCAATCTTCAGGTCTATCTACTTCGTATTCATACATGTACATGTACAAGGGTACGGTGCTGGTAGAAAGTGCAAAATTGCAAAAAAACAATTAGCGGCATAGAATGATACAAAATTGATTAGCCGAACTTTTTCAGATGTGCTAACTTACTTCAACTAAAGAAAAAATAGATGCATCAAAATGATTTACTGAAGATAATGAATCAAACCCCACTATTGTTCTTGTTCACCACCACTGGCATGGGCGATAATATGTGAATTGAAAATCATGGGTCACATTTGTGACTATCTTACCATCACATCAGGATAAGACACAATAACTCTAAGATCAAAGTAAACTGGAGATTGTATCCCACTCTTCAAAGTGAAATTGCCGAATTTAACGGCTTCTATTTCGTATAATTTGACAACTAAACTTTCCAAACTCATTTTGCAGTTTTCAAAATGTAGATCAGAGTCTCAAACCAAACTGAACTTATCAATACATATAGACATTCTCTTCATCGATGTTATATTTTGAATTTTAAGGCTTATATATAGTTTTCATATATTTTTTTGTATTATTTTTGTATCAAATACTCCATCTTGGAATAAAACTTCATCAAAATAAGAGATTTGGAGATTATTTTGACGTCACTTTTCAAAATGGCAGCCTCCGCAAATTACGTGGCGAATTAAATTTCATCTACATTTCACCAAATTACGGTGCTTTGTTACATTTGACAGTGGTATATTGCTATCCAGTAAGTAGAATAAGTACTAGTCTTATTTATACGTCAATGTCGAAGTATGAAATTTTCGGTTATACTAGTTTTGAATGCAATTTACCATCGAAATTTTTATTTTTGTATCTCTACCCGGAAGTAGGCATAGACGTCAAATGTGTCAAATTGTAAACAATAACAATATATAGTAAAAATAGCACTAGCTAACATTAATAGGATTGACTGTTTGCTTTATTTCAGATATATTGCCAAGATGATGGTAATTACCTACGTAGCGTTTGTGGTTCTGGGAGTGCTGTGTATTGGGCTCCAGTATTGGGCTATAAAATCTCGCAAAGACCCACCAATCGGAAACAACCCGACATTCTTGAAATTTCAACGTGGATATTTTGCAGCATATTTTCTTGCTGTTGTAGCAGACTGGCTTCAAGGACCTTATCTCTACCGACTTTACAGCTATTATAACTTCATGGAAGACCAGATTGCTGTGCTTTATGTTTGTGGATTTGCATCAACTGTTATTTTAGGCACGTGGGCGCCTATTGCTGCAGATCGCTTTGGGAGAAAGAAGCTTTGTTTCATGTTCACCATAGTATACTCACTTGCCTGTTTCTTCAAACTTTCCCGAAACTATGGAGTTCTCATAATGGGACGTATTTTAGGAGGAGTAGCTACATCGTTACTGTTTTCTTCTTTTGAAGCCTGGTATGTTCACGAACACATAGAAACACACGATTTTCCCAAAGAATGGATTCCTGTTACATTCGCTAAAGCTGGAGTGTGGAATGGAATTTTAGCCATAGTAGCTGGTGTTGTGGCTAATTTTCTTGCAGAGTGGTGTGGTTTAGGTCCAGTTGCACCATTTATGTTGTCGATTCCTTGTCTAATTATATCTGGCATTATTGTGATGACACAATGGCAAGAAAACTATGGGACCCAATCAGTGACTCTTGTTAAGTCATGTGGAACTGGCTTGAGAACAGTGTTCAGCGAACTGAGGATATTCATGATTGGAGTGATTGCGTCATTATTTGAAAGTGTTATGTACATTGTTATTTTCATATGGACACCTGTCCTCATTAAAGGAGGCCCATCTCTTGGAATCACGTTCTCAAGTTTCATGGTGTGTATTATGATTGGCTCTGCTGCCAATCAAATTTTAGTGACAGAAAAAGTGCAATCGTACAATTTACTATTAGTGTCAGTGGGAATGGCCCTCCTTGCGAACATCATCTGTATTCCTACGACCAATCCAGATGATCCAAATAGAAACCTGTCATTCTTAGCTTTACTCATTTATCAAATATCTGTCGGGATATATTTTCCTTCCATGGGATTTTTGCGAATAAAGATCATTCCAGATGCCCACCGAACAAGTGTCATGAATTGGTTCCGGGTGCCATTGAACATTATTGCATGCTTTGTGCTCATGTTATTGCATAATAGTAGCTTTAGACATGGGAACTATTTGATATTTATTATTACATCTGGATTATTAACATTTGCCTTACTGTTGTCATGGCAATTTGTTTCTATGGTGAAAACTGACAGTGATCTGCAAAATGGGAGCACAAGTGAAAATGACTCTTCAGTATCCTCAGCATAGGTTAATAGGATTGTGTATAATGTATTATGGTGCTAGGGCTCTAGAACAAAAGTGTATTTCCCTGATGTTTTTGTAATAAGGTTTTGGTATTTATAAAATCCAAAAGTCAAAAAAAAATTCTTAAAAAATCCGATGTGAATCATTTTTGAAGTCATATAATAAAGGGGTGTATTGTCTGAAAATTTGGTACATTTATGCTATATTTGTCATATACTGCAATATCTTCATCCCATAGGATATATGCCACAGTTACCATAGTTACATGTAAAATATACAACGTAGGGAAGGACTATTTATTAATAGGCACATGTATTATATTTATTTTTGTATTCTGTGATGAGAGTCATGACGTCCAAGACTATAATAGGGATGGAAATATATCATCAAGGGCTGTGTCCAAATATAAGTCAGTCATTGAAAAATACAGCAACTATTATCAGATTATGTTTGATAGAGTATGGAAATGTTGTAAAATATTGAACAAATTCTTAATTCCATTAATCAACACAAAATCATCATTTCATGGGATGAGAGCGTCGAAGTAAATGTTTTGAAACATCTGATGATAGTTGGACATAGCCTCTAATTTAAAAGAATAAATGTAAATAGATGTCACTCTTGCATATTTTGCTCTTGGATTGAGTTAAAATTATATTCTGTGGTACTGGTATGTACTAACTATAAATGACATGAATAAATAAAGTAATAAAAGATAATCCTTTACTAATGTTCTCTTGATGAAATATTATATCTGACAAGAGTTCTTTTTGCACAAAACTGAAGGGCTTCAGTTCAAACCAAATCTGCAGATTCCCAATAACTGGATTTTTTCCGAACAGGTATTAGAATTAATATAGTCATCCAAGATAAACAGATGATTTATTTAAATAATGACAAGAACCACGAGACAAAAGAAGTCTCTGCCTCAAACATCAAATTCTATGTTCGAGAACATATCAAAATAGCGATAAACAAAATAGCCAGACAATTTATAGCAGCAGACTCCATAAAAGCTTCATACTAACACCCATTAAAAGATGCACATGTGGACAAACATGTACTTTTTCATAACATGATTTTTATCATACATACTAATACCGAGGAATGTCAAGGTCATTCAGATTTTTCTTCATTTCTCTCAAAAACGTGAATGATCTGACTGCATGCATTTCTTGCATCCATTACAATATAAAGTATTATTACATGTATGCATGCTTCATTCCTTGCTAATTAGTCCTCCCCTTTTCACTAAACGCTAGAATTTAAAACATGGGTAGTGACATGTTTCCCATAGGTATGTGTGTGATACTCAGTGATACTTGATTAAAAATAAATAAAATCAAGGGTTTTGTAAAAGTCAGGATGATGCACCAGATAAGATACCAAAACAATTCATGATCAAATTAGATACCTGGGTTAAAATAAAAACCGTGAGGTTTTAATTTTTGAACTTTGAAATGTTTAATGAATTTGCTACCTTTTTACTGAATACTTCTACATATTAACCTGTATTAATAAATAAAGCTGAATGCTGTTCCACTTTGTTCAACGACTATGCTCAAGTGGCAGAAATGATGTTACATCCCCTTTCATAAGTCTACCAACCTAAGTCTTCCATAGATAGCACACTATGTTCATAATTTTGTTTATCAATTACAATAGGTCAGATATTTCTGAAATTTGAGGATTTTAATTGAAATTATGAAACTTGAACAGGATTTAATATCTGAAGGGGGGGGGGACTCATGTTGCCATACTTTAGAGGGGAGTGTAAAACTGTATACATGCACAATGTCCATAAATCATGCTTAATCTATGCAAGTACTCCAGTAAAACCTGTCTAATCCAAACAAGGACTGAACAGTGTTCAAATATACAGGTTTTACTGTATTCCTAGCCTTGCCCAAGTCGGTATTTTTTTACTTATCTGATCTTGAATTATTACCATAATAGAAATCAAGATAAGTAAAAGAGACCGACTTGGGCAAGGCTACTGTATTCCCTGAAGAAAGACTTATGATGTACCATTAACTTAGAAAGAGTATCATATATATTTTGTATATTCAGTATGAACATACTCTAAGTATTTACTATTAATGAAATAGTTGACATTGTAATAAGCGTATATATACAGATATTTAATTACTGATAATCAAAAATACTGCAGTTTTGATAATGATATTAAAGGTAATTACATGTATATATTTATAAATTATACCATAAAGTAATTAGATATTCATGAATATTCATGAACCTTCATTAGAACACTTAAAGGTTAAGTAGAAGAGAATATTAAAATCTCGGAAGTAATATTTTCAAAAAGCATGCCAATAAATCAAATCTTATTTCATTTTATGAATAAAGAAATAAAATATCCAATCAAAGATATTATCTGCCACATAACCTTAAAATTCCGAGGAATATCTGAATAAAAGTCAGAACTGTTGAATTGCCCCTATCAGAGAATAGGCATGACATGGAATTATGACACCTTTATTTCGAATACTATTACTCTTAACTTGTCTCTCCCTTCTACTTCATTTAGTATTTTTCAACTGCATTCATTAAAATCACTTTGGTAAAACATACTGCTTAATTGTAAGCAGAATTCTGCCTCTATATTGTGACTAATATGTTATTGTAATGACATCAGAGAGTCAATAAAAGATTTTCTGCCATTTCTATACAATTTAAAGTCTGCAGTGCCTGCCTGTTTACTTTATTCCTTGCTACGTTCACTCCTTTCAAAACATTGACAATCCTGTTACATACATGTAGAATCATTGTGGCAGCAGTCTCAAATGATTCAAGTTTTTTTTGTCAGAATTGTCTATAAGCTTTTTTTACAAGCTTTACCAAGAGGGGATTACTAACAATATATGATTACATTAATTCTGTGAAAGAAATTTGCTCAGCTCTCAAAATGATAAATAATTATCTCCACTTAATAATTTCACTTTATAGCTTTATAAAGCCTGTCTTTCATAATAAATATACCCTCTAAAAGTCAATTTTAGACAACATTACCAAATAATCTATACATTATATTAAAGCTCATATATTACTGTTTATATTTAAGCCAAATGAGTTACGCAACGTGTTAATAATTATTAAGAAGCTTATGTCATTTCTCATACTGATGTCACTTTTTTGACATCATGAAGATTATCTATGATGTCATGTTATAATTTCTGCATGTCAAATTATGCTTCATCACTATCCATTATTCAGACACGATAATTATATTATGTAACATCATTAATAGGCAGAGTTATGTAAATGCCATCTAAGGCAAATATCGTCTTTTTAAGCCAATAGTTAATAACAGACATAAGCATATGATATCACAATATTGAGCTTTTGATAATTTGTACAACATGTGCCAGTTCATCTAGTCACCACTGTCAGTACACAAACTCCTTTCATATGTATCTTCCCACGTATAGTACTTGTTAATATGTACCAGAATATATATGTACACCATGTATAAATAATCTAGGGTACAACTACCAGTCTAGGGTGTCCTTTTGGAACTTTAATCTTGGGCTGTTTTCCGAATAGAACTGACTGTACCACCTTCTGTGTTTAGAAATCATTGAACACTCCTTGGATTTACTTAGAACTGGTTTAGAGATGAATTTTTTGTTGTTCCAAATTGACATGTCTCTCTCCACCTGAAAGTAGAAGAATCATGATAAAAGTAAATGCCTGAGAATGTGAACTAAAACATTATCGTCACATCTTATAACAGATTCATATGTTCAATGTTCATATGACTTTTAAACTTTGTATTTACTTATTTGCCCAACACTTTTAAAACAGAGTAGCATATTATGGAAAAACTCCAGTGTGGCAATACTTAATATATCATATGATATCATATAATATAGATAAATAAGTGCAAATTACGAGAGCATTATGTACACCAAGGGATTTATCAGATGAGGCCCATTGACTGAATGCTTTACCTTTGAATGAAATTTGAACTTTGGTAACTATCTCAATTTTAGAGTTTTTTACTTCTCCGTATCCATTGTACAGTTAAGCCTGTTTAGTTTAGGTGAAACACTTTTGGTACCTTTTTAAAAGTGTTCCACTTGATGAGAGGTGTTCCACTTATAGAGGTTTATTGAACATGAAGTAAATTATCTTGGGACTCTTGGGTAAAATGTTCCACTTACAGAGGTGTTCCACTTCTAGATGTGTTCCACTTAATAGGTTTTACTGTACTTCCTTTTACCCAACTCACCTGTATGGCTTCTGCCATGAGGAAAAACTTTGATATGAACGGAGGCATCCTCCAGTCTGTGTAAATATTATGTACCAGTTTCTGCTCTAGGGGTTCCTCAGGGGTAAGATAATGTTGAAATATACCAGAACCTAATACAGAGGTCCAGTGCATATACACTATACCAGGCCCTATCTGCAAATACAACAATACGGTTTTCGTCAGAATACTTGATTTTGATTAGTTAAAAAGAGGTCAATAATTTTGACTATTGATGGCACAGTTGGGGTTTACAATTTTCATCAGCAACAGAAATGGAATTGAACTGTATAGATGTAATCAAAGAGCAAATAATTATTTTGTAAACTTATTGGACATCCCTCGTACATACCTGTTCAGCGTAGACTTTAAGATCAAGTATTGGTACTGCTATACCAAACAATGTCATCTTATGTTTCAGCTTAATAGTACTGATATGCTTCTTGTCTGGGTTGGCAAGTGGTTCCCACTGTGCGTCCCAGTTATGTTGCACACCTGAAAATGAATGGAAACATTCAATCATAGTATTCACTTTATATTTTTTGATGAATAGATTTTTTAAATAGTAATTCACCAGGATTCCAAAAAATAAGTAACATCTACTTCGTTAACCTACCCCAACATATGAGCAATGACCTTTCCCGTTTTAGCCACCCACCCATAAGACAAGAAACACAACTTATCATTCCTGGCCTTAGATCAATTTAACCAAATCTGAATTTGGACAAGAAAAATATATTTCTGGCCACCATGATTGAATAAACTTGACATTCAGCAATATCCAGACATTTTCCATTCCTTTACTGTTATTAAGGCATTTTCAATTTCTGTGTTGCATCATTGAGCCATTACTGTAAAACTTGTCTAATCCACTGTCTAAAACACTACTTGGACCAGTCAAAAGTATTTGGATTAGCAGGTGTTAACATTTCAAGCTTTCACAATATATCCGCATAATTGGGTGATAACAAAAAACTAAACTGGGACCAAGAAAATGTGTTCACATTGAGAGATGTTCATATTAGAGAATTGTTTAGAAATGCAGGTTTTACTGTATTTTTTAGTAAAGTTTCTAAATTCATAAAATAAATCCTCAAGTCGTATTACCTAGGTCCCAGTATTTCTTGCGTATGGTATCTACATCAATGCCCAATGTAATGCTAGGGGAGTGAAGATGTCCCAGATGAGCAACATCGGCACCATTCTCTGGAATTTCCTATAAATATTATAAAAAATTACTGTTTATATACACAATGTAATACAGATCTGTAATGATAGATCGTTGTGACATCCAACAATCAACAACAAAGTGGAGGCAAACAGAGATGATAATGTTTCAAATAATACGAAAGGTATTAGGCAGCACTTGGTATCCTGCATGCTAGCTAACTAGACCCCATGGCTCATGACGTCAAATGAACAGTGCCGCCAATACGATTTAATTAATAGAGACAGTACCCAACAGAACTTGGAGAGGTTTAATTAATATATCATCAAAACACCAAGGGAGAAATTAATTAAATCTATAGGGGCAGTGGATATCTTCATAGGCTCCCAAACGGATCAGTCGTGATATCTATGTGGCCAAGTTATGGTGGTTTCATTGAATTATACAGGGTGGTCAAAAAAAACGGAAACCCTGCATTTTCCTCATATCTTTGTCATTTTAAGAAATTACTCCCTGATATTTCACACATGTGTACATCATTCAATTTCCTACTACCCTACCATTTTTCATGACCATCAGACTGATAGTCACAATTTTATAGCACTTTGAACAACATGCTTCAGGTTTGGCATTATTGCGCTGTAGGCAAACCTGCACAGTTGTCAATGATCCAAATGCATTCCTCAGCAGGTATGACCTGAATGATACAGATGATCTCACTTTTGAGGTCTGCAATTGTCCTGAGGTCATTCTTATACACTCTATCTCTGCCATATTCCCATAGGTAGGGACATTTTGGACGACATGTACAGGTTGGTCTACAGCGCAATAGTGGCCACCGGGTATGTTCTTTAAAGTGCTGTAACACTGTGACTATCAATCTGATGGTCATGAAAGAGGGTAGGCAAATAGGAAATTGAGTCATGTACAAATGTGCAAAGTTATTTCTTAAAATGACAAAGATATTAGGAAAATTGTGTTAGGGTTTCCAGTTTTTTTGACCACCCTGTAGATCTAGATAAGATGTGTGCATTGATGATCATTTGTTCTTAAACTTAAGGGGTTGTGTCAAATCCTGTGTTGGCTGTTGGATAACAATTATGGATATGGATTTGTTGTGTCATCATTTTCTTTATTGTTTTTTCCAATTTTGTTTGAATACATTTGGTCAACATGCTTTTGCTTTTAGGGGAGAGGGATTAAGTCAAAATGTAAACATGTTTGATGAGAATGAACGTCTTGACCTGGTCCCCTCTACCCACTCAGTGGAGAAGGGAAGAAATCAGGAAATGAATTTTTCTGAGAGGCGTTAAGTCTAACAATTGTCAAGGCATTAAGTGAAGGTGTCAATAGTTCAATGTCGATTTGCAATTTCAACTGAAGAAGCCATATCACCTCTAATTTCCTGCCTTAAAAGATAATTGACAAAACATTGAAACGTGACATTTGTTTGAAGCTGATATACGATTGCATGCATGTAGTGAGGTTTTATCAGATGGAAAATTTTTATCTCATGACAACTCCCCAAATAAAATGGCCATGCTGCAATGCATAATTCACATTTTATCCTATTATTATGTATAATAACATGAAAATAAATTTGATATTTATTGGCAAAATGAATAACCGGAGGATATCGTAACAATATACTCCGGGCGGAGGATATCGTGACAATATACTCCGGAAAACCAAATATGCGGAAGATATTGTGACAATATACTCCGCTTGTTGATTTCCTGCCAAATTGACTTTTTTTGGCATGACATTCATTTTGCAATGATGTTATACATTTAGTACACTCCTTGTGAGTCTAGGATAATAAGAACATCCTATGATTTTTTCAGAATATCGTTTTAATCTATTCAGTGATATTGATATATGCACTCGTTCGCTTTGCTCTCTCCTGCAGATATCAATATCACCTAGTAGATAAAAATGATATTCCTCAAAATCATAGGATATCCTATAATTATCCCCCTCTTTTATCTATTTCCATTCCCATGTTAAAGACAATGGGGACAAAGGGGCTTGACTCAGGACTATACAATAGTTACAGTTACTATAGTAATAGTTACCATAGTGTTATTTGTATTAAGGTAAGCCAAGCAGGAAAATTTTTGGAACTGTTTGGGTTTAATGTTCATGTGCAAGCTTAGATTTCTGATTGTACACCCCTACCTTAATTACGGATTTCATTTACTGTTTATGTGAAGTAGAGAAAATAAATTCCACCTTAATTTTTCAGAGTTGTACATGTTCATTTATATCATTAAGTTACAAACAAATACAAAAATTACCTCTATATGAGCATTAACATGGTGTTCAGTGCGCCCTCTATAGACAAATTGTCCAGACGCAATAGTCTCAATCTCAGGAATCATCCATTGTGGATCGAGGTCTTCTGCGTGATACCACATGTGGACAAAGCCATTCATCTCAGATACTGGCCAGGATTTCACTTTGGCAACTTCTGGGGCTAAAATTATATTACAGTTTAAAATTATTCAAATGACATCAACTTCTTGTAGTATAGATTATTCATTGAGATCTTAAACATGAGACAAGGCATTAACATGCAAAATGTCATCACCTGCCATTTGTTACAGATACCAAACACTGAACACATTACATAATCTACATTAACCATATACTATACCCCCATTTATTTTACATCCTTGTGAAGGTAGGGTATGTAGGCCATCAAAAGGACTTAAAACAAGACTAGAAGTAATCAAAACAAAAACAAGTTGCATAATAATGTAATATATAAACTGTATGATGGATAATGTAAGCCGCATTGTTTATTACTGTTATTTATAATGAATTATTCAGAATGATATTAGATTCATCTCATGTGACTGTTTATTTATTGTTCATCATCCATTATTCAGATTAACTATAGCTATTACTGTAATTTGTTAGTTTCGCATCAAGCCGTTTAATAGCACCCTGTAGCATCCCTTTCATCTCAGTATAGGAGCACAGGAAGTTGCATCAAGCCCTTTTTGGTTATCTATAGGATTCTTTGGGTATCCTCACACAGAGGACCAAAAAGGACTTGATCCAACTTCATTATAGATAAGGGAGAGGATTTTGTTGAGAGTTTTTACAATTTTGTATTACACGTCTATCCCCTACCTCGATAGGATCCCAGGCACCTCCCACACCATGTATATTAACAATAACAAAAACACTAATCATTTTGCTAATTTTTGGTTAACAGTCTATGTTCTGCTTCTTTAGTTTTACAAAAAAAAACAATATATTGTTCATATGTCAGTCTTTATAGTATGTTTTGATTTGTGAGTAGGTGGTAAACAATTTTTCAAGTTTACCAATGTATCATGGAACATTTCTGAAATACCTTTTTCAGCATATGGAATATGAGTACATTTGCCATCTTCTCCCCGGAACCTCCAGGCGTGGAAGGGGCACTCGACACAATCCCCCTTGACTACACCCCCCACAGCAAGGTTGGCACCCATGTGGGGACAGTAGGCATCTATGACATGGGCCTCGCCATTTTCATCTCTAAACACACATAACTGCATTCCTGAAATCAAAAATGTCTTATTAGAGTATTGTTTTGTATATACAGTTTTTCTACACCACCACAATAAAGTAAGAACACAGGAGAGGGTAGCAAGCCCCTACTACATTTGGGTCACCATTTTAATCATGAAACACACTTTAACATTGCATATGAGAGGTATATTATTACATCGTCTAGATAACTACCTTATACAGTACCCAGCTTCATCAAAAACCAAAAAGGTAACAAATATGACACCTCAAAATCAGAACACTTTTCAGAACTAATATTTGGATGTTCTATTAACTTCTATGTTATGAAAACCTTTTGGCTTGAATGGTAATTGGGAATGGTTCATTTGATGTTGATTTGATGGCATTTTTGTGTCAGTCATTTTCAGGTCAAAAATTGTTTAAAAAAAGGATACCGTATTCTCTGTAATTAGCGCCCAGGGCATTTAGAAAATTGAAAATACATTATTTAGACCATTCTAATAAGCGCCCATGTATGAAAGAAATCAGAAATCCCGAGGAATTTCATGTATGGCAATTTTTCTTGACAAGAATGCATTTTCTTCAACATATTTTTATAATAATATGACAAGTGCTGTTATTGGAGAGAATACGGTAAAGATCGCTTAGACAATATTGACAGTGGTTGAAGACCAGTCTATGTCTAATTTATTTCCGGCACGCCCACTTTGTCATTATCGCCGATTACCTTCAATATTTCCACTAGAGACTGCTGGATATCGATCTAAAGTTATACATTATTTCTAATTTGATGAGAGATCATCATTATTCGTGCAAAAGTCGTGTAAAAGTCGAGAAACATTAAAAAGAAACCAGAAAGTTCACGACCTTGACATGCGCAGAACATCTGCGCAGTAGCTTTTGAAATTTCTGAATGCCGATAAAGAACAATTCCTTCATTCATTATGGAATATTTGGAGACAATATTAGCATGGTATGGTGTGGGAAGCACCCATCGATAGATATGTATCGAGAGGATGCATAGAATTACAAAACGCGTCGTGTTTACAGCAGTTTTAGGGTAAGTACTCTATTATCGCCCGCACCTGGATTTTGAGAAATATTTTTTTCCTGATATATTCTTCAATTCTTGTTGATTCCTCGATGTTTCTTGAACTTTGTGAAGCGGGGTGGGCGCTTATTAGAGAGTGGGCGGTAATTACAGAGAATACGGTAGGTCTAATTATATGTTATCTACTTCTTTGTCTCTTGTCATCTGGAAGGTGTGGTCTACTTTATCCCAAGGTACTCAGAATTTTTGGACATCAAGTATTATTTATCATATCTAATATTTACAATACTTTCATAATCATATGTATTATCAGTAGCTACTATCACTGCCCCCAGGATTCCGTGTTTGCAGAGCGCGGACGGAATTTGCCTCTGCCCGCGGAATTGCAGAATCAACTATTTTGGTCAATTTCCGCGGAATTTTCCGCAGAATCCATATATTTTCCAAAAGTTTAAAAAGTCAGTCTTTCCTGTAACAATTTGACACGTTTTCAGTCAAATCCCTTGCAGAAATAACCCAAATTATGCGAAGTGAAAATTCTAAACGCCATCGTTTGATTTCTGCCGTTAGATGGCAGCATGTATGTAGTGACTGACTAACTGACTATCACGATATTTTCCCGTTTACTGGTTCGAAAACCATTAGTTTTTCTTTCGGTTCACGTCAGAAAGTTAAACAAAGACATAAATTAATAACAGTTATTTATATTATATAAAAAAATGCCGCGAATATCCGCGGAATTTCTGCAGAATTAGCCCTTTCTTCTTGCAGAATTCACTAATTTCACTTGCAGAATTGAGCATTTTAACTTGCAGAAAACTGGGGGGAGTGTACTATAGGATAAAACAAATACTTAGTACAGTGCTGGTACATGCAATGCTGCATGATGAATCTGAAATAGTTTTTTTACTACACTCCCCTTTAAGTATTAATTAACCAGTTTCAAGGACGTCATAATTCAAGATCCCTTATTATTGACATTTTTTATACATAAGGTTTACATCGACTGTAAACTTCTTAAAATTATTAAAATTGCATCATGTGACGATGTGACAATGAATCAAATGTATCATATAACTATGAATCAAAACCAGCATTTTAAATTAAAATGTGGCCCATGTTCATCCTAGTATGTATCAACTTGGCGAAACACTTCCTTTGACAAATGCTTTCTAGAAATATTTAAAGCAATTGTTTTACATTGTTGTAAAGCGTACTCCCAAAGGGCATAAAACAAACAAACAAACAAGCAACAAAACAAAAAACAAAAAGGCAGACAAACAAACAGAAAGGTAAAAAAAAATCACATAATCAGTATCTTTAATGATCAATGAAGATAATTTAACAATACCTTTAACTAAACTATTAATCATTTTATTATCTCAAGTAGACAATTGTTATTGTCTGCTCCAGTGCTTAAGATTCTATGCAAGGTCAGGTTTTAAAAAATATATTGAACAAGAAATATATTTTACAACATGGGGATCCTTAATTATATATATATTGGGAAAATGAGTGTGACTTCATTAAAGTTTTAGTGGGGAATGTTGGGAAATGGGGTAGAACATTTTGAGAAAGTATGGGAAATGGGGTAAAATGTCATGGGGAAAGGGTTGGATATGGGGTAGAACATTGAAAAAGCATTGAGTAGAACATTTTGAGAAAGTGTTGGAAATGGGGTAGAATGTCATTGGGAAAGGGTTGGAAATGGGGTAGAACATTGAAAAAGAATTGAGTAGAACATTTTGAGAAAGTGTTGGAAATGGGGTAGAATGTCATTGGGAAAGGGTTGGAAATGGGGTAGAACATTGAAAAAGAATTGAGTAGAACAATTTGAGAAAGTGTGGGAAATGGGTCAGAACATCAATTCAATTCAATTTATTCGTATCCTAGGGTTGGACATGGGGTAGAACATCATTAGGAAAGGGTTAGAAATAAGGTAAAACATTTTGAGAAAGTGTGCAAAATGGGTAAGACATTTTAGGAATGGTATAAAACATTTAAAATATTTTGGGAAATGAGCTAGGAAGAACATTTAAGAAATGGTGGGAAATGGAGAACATTTCGAAAAATTGGGAAGTAAATTCAAGAAATAGTAGAATATGAAAAATATTTTTCTTAAGATTGTTCTTCTGCTTGATAATCAAAGACAACTTTCAACCACCAAGAGTGTGTTAAATTGGCACAGCAAGAATTTAATCAAAGTGTAAAGGTTGCCCATGATTTAATATAAGACTTGTGCAAGCTGCCCATGGGGAGCCATGGAGTGATCAGTTCTTGATTATGTTGTTTTTGAATCTTATAAACAAATAGAATAAGATGATTGTATAAATGCCTCAGCTGGAACTTATTTGCAAGAGATGTCTCAATTAATATATGAATCAAGTATCACTTGGTAACCACTTAGAGATTGTATATGAGTATGAAACTGAATTCTCTTTGATGAATAAAATTTAAAAAATAAGTATGGTGAATCAGTTAATTCAATGTGTCATTCACGGAAAGTTTACAATTATCTTTATCAATTCTGAGAACTGAAAGCATCATGCAAGTTTCAACATTTCACAACATATTACAGAAAATAGGATGGGATGAGGGAATTCTGTCAGACCTCCTTGAAATTCTTGCACACAATAAGGCTGATGCGTACCACTATACTGTACTGTACTACTACGATACAGTACTGCAGTATATCTATTACATACCATGTACATATTATGCAGTTATAAACCACATATCTTACATTTTTGAAATATTAAATTGAATGCTTTGAGTACCCTTATTCCTTATTTCAATAGTCCCCTCCAAGGAGGATTGGCTCCCAGAGTGCAACATCGATATTCTGTCCCATATATGGGCATGTCGTGCTACAAAATTTGAATTCCAACCACCGCCATTTTGTTCACTTCAACATTTGAATCGGGGAATTTTGGTCTTATTTCCTAACGAAAAATTCCAAAACTCACAGGAAATGATCGAAATATTGGTTCGAATCTTTTGAACTGTTTATTTTGAATTTATAATCGGTTATAATTTCAGAAAATAACGACATTTCGGCGTTTTCATTGTTGGAAAATATCGACTTCGATTCTGGGAGCCAATCCTCCTTGAGTCCCCTCCCAATATGCATTTATGTCAATCACCATGACAACAGTTTGACATCATTCACAACAACTTATGACAATTGCTATTATCTGACTCAAAATCTAGCTAATTGGTCCAAATGTGAATATTTGAGTTGAGGAATTATTAGTTAACAGAGTAAACTTCAGTATTAAAGGCAAAAATCCTGAAGAGCATCAACAGTCACAAAACCATTGATCAATATAAAATATGAATATTCATTATGAATATGACAGCCATCACACCAAAATATATCTCCCAGAAACCAGCAAAACCAAAAGCCATAGTCGACTACTACTCCCATTTCTCCAAAATATGTAATTTGAAAAATAGTTGTACCTAAGTCTATATGAACCCAAACTTTATTTCCTTATATGATAAATCATACAATGGATTATCCAAAAATCATATGGTTAGGTTAGAATAAACACATTTTGGAAATCAATATATTTCCAGACTCCAGATGGTGTGTTTTGGCTGATATAAAGTATTTAGAGTCAGTGATGCTAATACTAATAGTTCTACTGTAGATCAACTTGCAATTTGCAATTTTCCTGAATCCGGGAAGTGAAGAATTATTCATTTTTTGAAGAATATGTCTCAATGATAAACATAATATTGTCATTTTCATAACATACTACATCATAATGTTCAAACAACAAATAAATACATGGAATGGATGCATGGTGTCTAAATCTTGACATTTGTAAAATAAGGCATTAACATGTGAAATGGCACCACCTGCCATTTGTTACAGATACCAGCCACCGAAAGCTGACCCCCAAACACCAACCACCATCCACAAAAGTATATCAATTTGTCACCACCACTTGTACTAGTGGTGACATAAAAAC